ACCAGAAAGAGTTGCCGTTCGTCGTAGATATATATATATATATATATATATATATATATTTACAGGTCTTATAGATACATCATCTGGTTAGATGTGGTCCAGTTATTCAGCTTAATCATGGGCGTTTGCAGTGTCTAGTGAAAATGTTTGAGAAGGTTTATGGATATGTTTGTTCATGAAAATCATTTGAGGAACTTGTGTTCTAGAGATGTTTCGAGGATCTAGCTTTTATATCTCTACTCTCTGTTGTGCATCAGTGTTTATCTATCTGAAACATGGAAATTTGATAGTTAATATTTTTCCCATTGATTGAGAATGACCAGAGACTTACGTTTATGAATAAGAAAATTGTCCTCTAGAGATGTTCTAGGTTTTTAACATTGATGTTTCTCTAGTAATTATTGTGTAGCTAGGTTCTTATATTTTATGGTTCTTGAATTGGTTTTGAGTTGGTCGTTGTTAGATGGAATGTATATCTTCTGTTAATTGATTATTTCGAAACATTTACAGGGCGGTTTCTTTACCAGATAGCTCTGAATTCATGATATTCAATCACCGTGGCAGACTGTTCCCACCGGAGATCGACATGAAGTTTTGATTTTTCATTTTTTTTGTAATCACAGTGCGTAGTCAAACACTTATCTGTCTAATACTAAGAGATGTTTCCATTGAAATTTTAAGTAAAGTACTCTGTTTTTCATCAATTTTTTTATATTTGGAAAGTCTTGTGAAGTGGTTGTGTGTCAGGGTTTCTACATGGAATCTTAAAATCAAGAAATGCACAACAAAAGCATAGTATATTATTGTCAAATCCAACGCTTTTTTTGCTTATTCTTTACGGTTCCCTTGGCACTGTTCTGGAAGGTCCAGCTCCAAATGTCATGACGCTCAACTCCACGGCCCATGGCACCGGAAAAACCGGGGTACATTTTTTCAAGAAAAACCTTAGAAAGATCTAAATGGGCAACGATCAAAGGCTTCTTAGGTTTTTTAACGTTTTCTGGCGCGAGTGTGACCGTAACCTTGGAGTTTCTATACTCAATCCAAGCCTTGTACCTCTCTCCGTTGCTCAACTTGACCTCCTTAAACGACCAGAGTAGCCTTTTCCCAATTCTTGTCTGAACCCAATAACCAGCTTTCTGTGCAACAACGGAAGTAACAGAGTTGATATTTATCCCGACATGGTTATCAGTAATGTCTCCGAAACTTTTGTCCTGAAAATCGTCGAACTCGACAGCAAAGACGTGGCTGTTGGGGTTGCCGTTGGTTGTTTTGTTGAGGATGCCGAGGAATCCAGCGGGTCCAGGACCGCTACTCTCAATGGAGGGGACAAAAACGAAAGCGAGGCCGTGACCAGGGGCGGGTTTGACGCGAGAAGTGATGGAGAAAGTGAAAGAAGTTTCAAATGGATAAGGAGAAGAAGAGTTTGAAGAAGGCTTGAAAGAGAGAGGAGTGGACCAAAGAGTTTGGCCGTGAGAGCATGGGTTTGCGTCTCGGGTCATGGAGAGAGCTCTGGAGAGGCTGACGCCATCAGAAGCAGGACCAAGCTCAGCGTCTCCAAGGAAGATAAACTCTGAGGTTTTGAGGCTGAGTTTGACGGCGGAAGTGGTGTGAGATAAGAGCAGAGCAAGAAAACAGAGTTTATGAATCTGCATTGTGTTGCGTGTTTCTGTGTCTGGTTGTGTTATTCTAGTGAGAGTTTGAAAGACTGAAGTGGAGATTGATAAAAGAGTAAGCTTCGTTACATGACGTAAAGTAAACGCGTCACTCACAAGGTTTCCTTTAGCTTTTCCATTTCGACCAAGAAAAACTGAAAGTTATTAATCAGAAAACTTTAATTTGATCGTAGGTTAGGAAGACGTGAATATATCTACTGGAAAATTGGGTGTGGTAAACTTTGTTGGACAGTTGTTTTTGGGCGATATAATTTGGTACCATGATCTTCAATCGGAGATGGACATACAGATTATTAAAGTTAAATAACTTTATTTTAGTTTGAGTTCTTTGTGTGTTTGTTTTTTTTCCATTGCTACTTGCGTAGTTGCTATAACTTGATAATGTACACGTTGCAATCAAAAGTCAAAGCTAACTATGCAGTGACTTGATGTGAAAGTTACACGCGTGAACCTAGCACTCATAAATAAAAATCCGAGCTCAATTTAGATCATAAACTGTAAACTGTAATATTATACTGTCCATATCTCACTAAGTCTCTAAAATAATAGTTGACTCTGCTGTATTCGAACAGCCTGTAATATCTATAGCCAGCTCTAAGGATTCGAATTTAGTTGTATCAAATTGTAAAACACTGTATCAAAGAGGCCGTATTATATATATTTATATGCATACATGATACTCTGTCTCAACATCAATGCATTATTATTTTTTGTTGAGCAGATCATGCACGAGACTAGTTTTGTTAGTTGAGAAACTCAAATAAAAAAAGTTGTAGTATATTTCGTGCCTAGTCTGTTTAGGCATCTAATAACTTCCTTCTATTACTAGTCTAGGCTGAAAAGAAAAGAAAATCCTCATTTACTCAAAATAATAATGTCTCTCGGGAACTCTATGGGTTCGGAGCCGGAGCTCAAAACACTGATAAATCAAATAATCAATATCACCGGGGATTCGCAACCAAAACCGGAGTCTGAGCTTGTATCACTCATCAATCGAATAATCTGTCTCGTCAACGCTATGAAGTCGGATTGGAGCACGTACCCGGAGTTAAAGTCACTCATCCCTCAAATATTCTCGATCATCGTCTCTCAGGATTTGGAGTCAGATCCAGATCCGTCTGAGCTCCCGTCACTCATTACTCGTATGATCACCATCCTCAGCTCTATGGACTCAAATTCGTTGTCGGAGCAGGAGTCGGAGCTCGTATCACTCGTTACTCAGACAACATCCCTCGTCACCTCTATGGAGCCGGAGTCATATACGGAATCAGAGCTCAAGTCACTCATTACTCAAATCATTCCTCTCGTCAGCACTACCGATTCGAAGCTCGTATCACTCATTAGTCAATGGGGCTATTTCCTAAGCTCTCCGGATTTAAAGCAAGAACCGGAGCATGAGCTCATATCACTTACTACTCAAACAATTTCGCTCGTTAGTTCTATGGATTTCGATTCGCAGCCGAAGCCGCTATCGGAGCTCATAGCACTCGTCACTCAGTTTCTATCTCTCCTCAGCTCTGTATCGGATTCGGATCCCGAGTCTGAGCTCATATCACTCATCACTGAAAACATATTATCTTACATCACTTGTGTGGATGATTCAGCTTCGAAGCCGATGATGCCGGAATTAGGGATCTTACCACTCATTTCTCGACTAGCATCTCTGGAGCCGCAGCCAAAGATCATTTCACTCGTTAGACGAATGTTCTCAATCGTTGGGTCTATGATTTCAGATTCGGAGCCAGTAGATAAGCTTATTTCCGTAAGCCCTCAAATGGGAGTAATTGTTGAACAAGGGAGATTTCGCGTGAATGAAATGCCCATAGAAAGCCGAGGAAATAAATGGATATGTGGCCCTGGATTTCGGACATTATTCAGCTTAGCCGGAGAAGCCGCTACCCATTTTTGGTGCCAAAATTGCAATGGCGACTACCATGACGAATGTGACAAAGCCTCACTTTTCGCCGACCACTTTCTTGATCAAAAACATCTTCTTCAGCTTGTCGTGGCTAGGGAAGGACAAACCATGGAATGTTATTGTTGCACTGAAGATCTCCTATGGATGTTTTATTATTGTGTGTCTTGCGAGATTGCTATCAATATAACTTGTCTCGAGAAACCACCGGTCTTTTATATTGATTGTGCCAAGTGGCATGAGCATACACTTGCTCTGTTTCCAAGACATGCTTCCTTAACTTGCAACCTTTGTGGCTTGCCCGACGCTAGATCCCCTATCTATATGTGTCCCCGTTGTAACTTTGTGGTCCATCACAAGTGTGTCACCTTACCACGTGTCATAAGGATATCTCGCCATCCCCATCGTATTTCTTTTACCCCTTCTTTTTACCAAGAAGAGCCCTCCTGTTATATATGTCGCAAAGAGATTAATAGATACTACGGAGGTTTTGCTTGCATCAAGAACGATTGTTCATATACGGCTCATTCAAGATGTGCCACACAGAGCAATGTGTGGGATGGCATAGAACTTGAAGGAGTGCCAGAAGAAGTTGAAGAAGAACTTGAGCCGTTTGTGAGGATAAGCAACGGAATCATACAACATTTCAGTCATCAACATCATCATCTGAAGCTTGCTGAGAACGAAGACAGAGATTACGACGAGAATAAGTTGTGTCAAGCATGCATCACGCCTATCTACTTCGGCAACATTTACTCTTGTATGCAGTGTGATTTCATTTTCCACCAAGAATGCGCCAATCTTCGTCGCAAAATGCATCACCCGATACATCCACATATGCTCACTTTAACAGAACGCATCGGCATTATGAACAAGCCGAAATTATGTTCAGCTTGTCCTTGGTTGTGCACGGGTGGTCTCATCTATGAGTGCGGCAATAAAGGATGTGATTTCCAGCTACACGTGCAGTGCGCTTCACTTTCAGAGCCTTTGGTCCATCCAAGTCATACACATCCATTATTCCTAACATCCAAACCTGAAGAGTGGCAAAGAAGATGTTCTGTTTGCAAAGAGTCAAATCATTGTTCCACAAACGAATCCTTCAATTGCATTGAGGAGGCGTGTGACTTCGCTTTGTGTTTTGTATGTGCTACTTTACCACAAAAGGTTAGGTATAAGCATGATAAGCACGTACTCAATATGTCTTATGGGAAGGAAACAAGTACCACGACTAATTGGTGTGAAAGTTGCGAGGAAAAAATAAATCCAGAGGAGCGGTTTTATGTGTGCGATGAATACTGTTGTGTCACTCTACACATTGAATGTTTGATTGGAGCGGACATTTACATGAAGCCCGATTCATCGTTTCACTTCCACATGAAACCGGGTTCATCCATTTCCTTACGCGGTAGTACCTTTGTTCAAATTTGGGCCAATAATCATATGTATCGACCTTTTTGCTCCATATGTAAGAAGCGTTGTCCACACAAAATATTTGTCACTGGGCACTTTGAACTTCTATGTTGTTCCACATTATGTTTATCACTACTTTAGAGAGTGACTAAGCTTGATGGATATTGCTTTTGTTGTAAGAAGTATTACTGAATTTGTCAAACACTGATGTCGGATATTGTCAATATGTTATGAGTTATTTCCCCAGAAGTTTTACTTAAAAGAAGTATTTTGCTTTGCACCCGTGGTGATTCTTGAAGAGTTCTTTTTATTTTTTTTTTTATTTTTGTAACTGATCTCAAAATCCCAAAGTATTCCGATATAATTCATCTTATTCTCACAAAACACAACGCAGGTTTATAAACTCTGTTTTCTTGCTCTGTTCTTAGCTAATTACTTAATATAAACTTGCTCCCAGCGACATCTCTGATGCATCTCAAGAACAGCTTCAGGTGGTCCACAAAAAGAGTGCTTCCACAGAACCATTCCTGCGGTTCCTGACCCATCCCTTTATCCCGAGCTGCTCTGCATTCTCTCAACAGTTCAGTTCCTGGAGCACACTCTCTGTACTCTTCCCTTTATCAAAAGTCCCTTAGTCACTCAGTGAAAGTTAATTTTTACATTCATATCTCAGAATCTGTCATAGTAACTCAAACAAGTATTTTTGTTTGGGGGCTGCCGAGTCAAAGCCCCCTTTTACATGGCTCGTTGTTCTTTTAAGTGCATACTCTCTGAATTTGCTGGTATTACAAGTTTAAACAAATATCAAATTGTAAACATATGACGTATATCAAAACGATACATGGCCTCTGTGTCTTAAATCTCTCTCTGTCTCTTACAAGAGAATCAATCAGACGGTTGATCTGTATTCAAAACCTGCTCCCGGTTCTTCAGTGGAAGGGAAAGCCTCCAAGCCAGTTACCATGGCTGCAGGAGGGCCACGACGACACCTCTGATGCATCTCATCAACAGATTCAGGTGGTCCAGAAAAGAGTGCTTCCACAGAACCATCCCTGCGGTTCCTGACCCATCCCTTTAACCCGAGCTGCTCTGCATTCTCAACAGTCCAGTTCCTGTAGCACACTCCCTGTACTCTTCCCTTTATCACCACCCTGACCTGCACCCACCGACATTAGACATCTTCAACCCATATATTATCAGAGAACTGAGGTACCAAGAAGCCTGTTGCTATCCGATGGTTAAATCATATATCGCAGATATCTAATCCAATCAGCATGTTCTTCGGATAGTGATACCAATGAACCTCAGTTCTAGTCCTCTAGATTAAATGAAGAGAATCAAAAACAGAAGAATCTAAACTTTGGTCACGATTTCCAACGAATTAGAAAATACCGTTTTAGCAGAATCGGATTGGTGGGGAGACCCAGATTCAGCCTGAGTGGTCATGGAGCACACAGGGGGAGATGAGCGAAGCCAAAGCAGGGGACGAGGAAGACGAAGAGTGGTAGAGAACAGAGGAAGAGTAAGAAGAGGAGGATTCTGAATGAAGAGGCTACGATGATTGTGGATTCTTAACAGTGAAGTCGAGATTTGTGGAACCTTGCCGAAACTCAGAAATTTTGTTCGGATTCCGACAATTGAGGCCATTCTCCGTCGAAGAAGGTTTCTCTCTCGTGTTTCAGAGTCTTTCCTTGACGAACGATCCCGGTTCTGCTTAACTAAAACCGGTTCGATTGCATCTGGTTTGGTTTGCTCAAGAATCCAATTCCAAACATGGCACACGAGATGATGTAATCAAACAATCCAATTCTTCTTTCGGCCCATAAGAATGTTCTGAGCCCATGGAAACCAATCTTAATTACCGGCCCATAGAAGCTCAATTTTTTTTTCTTTTTTTTTTCCCGATTCCTTTCGGTTATTTAAAAGGTCAAGGAAGTATAAGTACTTAGTAGTGTGAATAGATGCAAATTTGAATGAGAAAATAAAAAGAGAGAGGAATACTGTATATTGTAATTCTCAAACACGTATTTTTCAGCATGTAGAACAGAAGTAGAAGTAATGTTATACGACTTGGAACTGAAAATAATTATCTTATTTGGTCATATAAGAAATCAAGTCACCTTAGCATTTAATAAGCTATAAGTTCAAACTGTTTGACAATTGACAAGAAACAAAATATAAAAAAAACGAATGGAACGGTCAAATGTTAGTATTTTGATATAAAATAGTAAAAAAAATCAAATAAACGTTTCATGGGAGACTTGGACTCCTCTACATACAGTATATAATTAGTGGCTTCCTTGTATATATATATATATATATATATATATATATATAGAGACGACTCTTCTCAGGAACGAACGAGACGACTCGAGGAGTAAAAAAACGAAACATGGTGGAAACATGGTTGCATGCACGTGTGGCTGCGCGACTAAAAACACCAGTTTTGACAAGTCAGAAATTTTACTTTTTTAATAAATAATTCAAACTGTTTTATTACACGTTGTTTTAGTAGTTATTTTCAAAGAGTTTGACATGGTGGTGGAAAATCTCATCAGACGGTGTTTGAAAAAGTGTCTTAAACCCATTATTACGAAAGAAAAAAAATTACAACGTAACCAAACAAACAAACATAATGATGTTAATATATATAATATTAAAAGAAATTAAAGATCAGGTAAGCTGGTAAGTCCAATTTATGTTTTACGAAAATTAAAAAAAAAAAAAAAAAAAAGACAAACACATATAGCATTAGATTTAGAAAATAGTATTTGAGAAATAGTTAGTACATTGTAATGAGAAGACCTTTCTATTTTTGTAATGAATAGTAATATTTCCAGGCTGTACTTTGGTGGTAGGGGGAGAGAGAGAGAGAGACTCGTGCCGTGCAATCCAATCCGAGAGACAACAAATATAAATTGCCATGTGGGCCTGACGTGGACCGGTCCGGCTCAAATGATCAAACATAAAAACCCCACACACACATTATAATGGAATCAATCATACATCATCATCAATTATGACCATGATTCATGCTTCTTATGTAATGCACATACATTACAACTTGATCATATTCCCTTCCTTAACAAAAAAAAAAAAGAAAACTCACAAAGTCGTCATCATCATCATCATAAGTAACCCACATGTATCAATCTTCTCAGTGTCTAATAAAGTTTTCGAAATAGCATCTACTCACAAAAATTTGCCATTTATATTTAGCAAGAAAGATATGTTTATATCAGAAATTAGTGAATTAACAATTAGTAGTAATCGAAAAGTTGGAAAAACAAATAAAGTGGTAATTGTTTTAAGTCACGTTCAAAGCTGAGTCAGAAACACGCGGCATTGTTAAAGTTGATGGTTCTTGCCACTTCATTCTACAATTATTTTAATGTTGCTGACGCTTCTTCTTTATTGCCTTTTTATTTTTTATAAGTGCTGGATTAGGTTTTCGCATCAGCAAATGATTTTGTTCTAGTCAATTTTAATTATGTTCATATGTTGTGTTTTTTCTTTTCTTTTTCTTTGGTGGAGCTCACATTGAACCTAATGGATAGAAATATTCGAGTTTTTCGTCTTTTTTTATACAATTATTATAAAATCTGGAGGAGATCAAGTATTTATATATGTTTGTACGTTCAATCTTTAGATAATAGTAGAAGATTATGTAATGGTGGAATATTCTCCTATATATATGCATATATCTTTCTTGTTTTTCTATAACCCCTTTAATGTAATATCAAAATTGTCTTTTTTCGATTTTTGTTGCGTATGATAGAGACAAGGGAACCATTTTATAGTATTTGTTTATAAGCTAAGGTGTACTAATAATATATTTAAACAACAAAAAAAGAAAGCTCAAGTGTATACACAGTACACACAACTACAAGACTACAAAATGTGAATTGCTGATGTAATGAAAACGGCATGAACCTTCTTATCTTAAAAATCATTATTCGTGATGATAATCACACACGTAAACGTGATCATACGTCGGTCCGTCCAAATAACTACCCACTCTTTTATAACTCTTTAATTAAATAAAATCATGTGGCTGTTTATCATAGTTGATTATAATATCAAATAACCATATCCTTTTGTTCTTTAGTTATATCTTTCAAATTAACCGTAAACCGACTTTGTAACTTCTGATGTGATTTACATATTTAAATACTGTATACTTCTTAGTTCTTACATATGACAGTTGAAAATTTCTTGTTAAGTTTAAATTCTAATTGCCGACAAAAAAAAAAAAAAAAAAAAAGTTTAAATTCTAATTAACTAAATGATACTTAATTAGTATAAGATGTAGAGAATTAATTAATGAGTAGAAGAAAAGGGTTAAGATTAGCTTAATCTGCCCCCACTAACTTTAAATGAGTGTGAAAGGAACCAACAAATTTTATCTACCAAGGCAAAACAATTTAATAACATTTTTTTCATTGGTTTGTATTTCATTTTCGTGTCCAGGCCATGCAAACGGTAGAAGTTTCAAGACCATTCTCGAAGGATGGATTGTTTTAGTTTTAGCAATCAACAATATAAATATACTACTAGTATTGTTTGTCGATCAATGGCGATTCTAAACTAAGTATTGTATACTCTAAAGTCTAAACATAAGTAACTGTTGTTATATATATATTATCATCATCATCATCCAGATATATAAGTCATACCTACCTAGGAACATCATCATCTACAGATTGGCTTTCCAGTAACTATTACACAATTGGTTAAGGTTAAAACAACTATAAATAATGTTGCTAATAATTTGAAAACACCCCGTGAATATAGAGAATGGTTAAGCTATTAAATCGCTATCTCCGTATATAATAAAATGTATCGATTGGAGAATGCTAATAGTTATTTGTCCCTTGGCAATATCCTGACCACTAGCTCGCAAATGATCATATCATGTCCCCGATGAAGACAGTTTTAACTTTAGCACAACTTTTCTTCTCTGATGCAATAAAGGCTAACTTAATACATCCAACCATTTCGATCAATAAATCATTAAAATTCAACTTTCATATAACTTCGTTCGTACCTAACATTCATAAATAACGTCTCCATCGTCACTTCTTTTTGGCCTTATTAAACCAATGAGTCAAATATTGTTTCCGATTTATACACATTAGTCTTCTTATAGTATAACAATTTTATGCAAGTTGTATGTGTGTTTTATGATGTGTTAACCACTATATTGTCACCTTTTATGGTAAACGAAAAGCTATTATGACCCTTATACGTATAAACTTTTGGAAACACTAAAAGATGGTTTTACATGCAAACGGTAAACCAAAGACGACGAATTCTCAATGTTCGGCTTCTTCTTATTAACAAATAAAACCAAATATTAAATGTTGCGTTAGAATTTAAAACTTGCACCTATTCGAACCAAAGACTAGCTAGTATGAATTGGATTCATTCTTCTCCCGACGTACGATATGCTTGGTTTTGAAATGCGGTCCTGCATGACTTAATTATAATTTTAGTCGGTTTGTGTTACGTACTGATATTGGATATGTACTACTTTAATATCCTTGAGATTCCTTGCACATCTCATGTTTTGGAACGAACCACGAGTTGATAAGGTTCATCTCAAGATGATATCTCATACACAAATTATTTTATATTAGATATGTTTAAAAACAGTTTTAGAGTAGTTCATTTTCATTACCGTGGTAGATGATTTCCATGAAGAAAACAGAGACAGTTTAATTAGGATATATTATTATATTTTCATTAATGATCACTTGAAAATTACACATCAACAAAAGTTACGATACAAAATTATACCTATAGTATAGAAGAAATAAACCAACCAACCAACCAATCCACGCCTCTCAAAAACCGGTTCTATAACCGGCCAATCCAGCCGGTTTAGATTACCGGACTCGGAAGTTTCCGTGCTTTCGTAGTTTACAGATTTGTCATATCTACCATTCTCTCCCTATATTTTTTAGTTATTTACATTTTCCTCCCCACTCATTTTTTTTCCACTCACATGACAGAACACCCATTTGGATTCTCGTCGCTAAACAACTCTGGCGCACGCATGTGACCATAAGGATCTGCGTAGCCTTGGTGGTTCATATATGGTTGTGGTGGTGCTTCTTGTCCATAACCTTGACCGTAACCTTGGTTCGCATACGATTCTTGTACGTATCCTTGGTTCGTATACGGTTCTTGTACATAAGACTGAGACGATTGTCCTTGCATCATGTAATGCTGCTGTTGACCGTATACTTGTCCTGGTGGGTAATAATACATGGGCTGTGGAGGATAACCGTAACCGTTATACTCCGATTTCTTCACATCCACCATAGCACCACCGTCTCCTCCGCCGACAGCAACTTCTTTCTTCTTTTCACCACCACCGTCAACTTTCTTTTCTGCGACATCTTTAATATCTTTCTTCTCACCAGCACCTTTGTCCTTCTTATCCCCACCGGCCGGAGCCGCTGCAGCTGCTGCTCCGTCGTCCTTTTTCGCTGGAACTACTTCGACAGTACGTTTAAGCTTCTCCGTAAGATAAGGAGTGAGCTGTTTCACGTCGATAATCCCCTTAACTGTAACCAAATCCTTGGCGCTATCAATGGAGACCGAGTTAACCCCTGTAAAGGGTAAAATTAAAACGTTAATTTGATTAACATGTTAAGTGCGTAAAATAGAATAAATTAAGCTAAGAGATTAGGCTAACCACTTCTTAGCTAACCATATGATATTTATTCAGTAAAATAATAAATAAGCTACCAATAGGTAGTTGAGTTCAACCTAATTTTTTAATAGATTTGTTTTTTTCTTTTTTTTTGTGTGTGTTCTGCTTCCGTTATCTTCAAATCACCAACCGGATCAATTTCTTTTATTTTAAAGAACGTTTGAAAATTGGGGGATTAAGGAAGGAACAGATAAACATACCTTTAATTTTGTTGACTATTCTTTTGATTTTGATTTCGCAACCTTCACAGTGTAACTTGGTCTTCAAAACCACAGTACTCTGTAAAAACACATCAAAGGAAAATTTACATTAGAAAACAAATTATCATAAACGGGGAAAGTCATAAAAAATATTTGGATATGAACGAGTGTAAATACGGGAAAGTTTGGAAGTGGACACACACACGTTACAGACCACAAAACAAAAGGCACTGACGTATGAAACTTTTATTATATAGTTTTCGCTATCTGACTTTATTTTTAAAAAATTGTCGTTTATAATAAAAGTTTTGTTAATTACCTCTTTTGGTGGTGGTGGGGGAGAAGCTTTCTTCTCTCCTTCCTCTTTCTTCTTCTCTTCCTTTTTCTCCTCCGCGGCTGGTTTCTTCTCTGCCGGTTTCTCCTCGGCCGCGGCAGGCTTCTTCTCACCGCCTGAAGGAGGAGTCTCTTTCTTCGGCGGCGGCGCTACCAAAGAGACGAGTTCGACTGGCCTCTTGACTTTGTCGGCAACTTTATCACGAACCGCCACTGGATCTACGTTTCCGATCACCGTCAATTTGTTAGCGTTATAATCAATCTTCACATCTTCAACACCTAAAATCATTATACAAAAAAAAGTCGCGGTTTAGGGTTTTTCAAAATTCGAAGCAATCTCAAAATAAAAATTGGGGAATTGAATGATTTGGTTTTATTAAATAAAAATTACCTTTGAAATGTTTGAAGATACGTTTGATTTTCTTGCCGCAACCTTCACAATGCATATCAAGCTTCATAACGACGGTGGTGACACCGCCATCGGTGGTGGTAGGCTTCTTCTCTCCTTGAGGCTTCGTCGCCGTTTCTTCCTTTTTCTGCAAAATCGTTAAAAGAGAAATCCAAGTCAATCCCGCGTTCGTTACAGAGATCGAGAAAGATCAGAGAGATCGAAGAATAAGAAGTGACTAACCTCACCCATGTAGTTAGTAATAGTAGAGAATCAGATAAATTCCCTTTTTTATGGAAGAATTTTGAATATACACTCCTGGAAAAAAGTACCCACAGAGAGAATATATATTTTGTTCTGGTTTGGAGAATAAGGAAAAGGGGAGTATGAGGGATATATATAGAACCTTTTTTTTTTTTTTTTTTTTTAAATGTGTGTGTATGATGAAATTAGTAGTGATGGTGATGATATAAGATTTTTATATCACATAATAATGATGTGTATGTGTTTTATATACAAAAGCACGAGGTCAGGATTAGTACGCGGTTTTTCCTTTTTTTATGCCGTCGAATTGGACCTCATCATTTATAAGGGCCCATTTACGACGACGCTATACGACGACGTTTTCTACTTGTTTTTCATTTCTTTTCTTTTCTCATCCAATTAATGACGGTTGTAAAACTTCTTTCTCTTAACCGGAACTGATACGAATTGAGGATACTGTTCTCGGCCAATTGGATTTGACTTTAAGCCGGGTATGAGTCAAAACTTGTTTTGCCTTCACTTTTGTACTACGTACCATGCTTTTTATGTTGAAGAACTGTTAGTGATTTTTTATTTAATTTTTGTTGATGAGATTACTGTTATACTTTTATTCGAACTATCTCTCTCTATACCGCGCTCACGTTAACGAATTCGGCTTGGTTTGATTTTATTTGGTTATAGTTTCTTAATTTTGTCACGTTTAACCGAAATCGAATCAAACCCACTGAGTACTATTTAATCGAACAACTAGAGGAACCGTGTTTTGTGCCATTAGCCCATTACTAATGAAGGGAGAATGCTAGCAAAAATGGAAATTTTGGGTAAAAGGGAAAAATGGAAATTTTGGGTAAAAGGGAAAAATGGAAGTTTTGGGAAAATGGGAACCTCGACTCCAGTGGCGGTACCTTAAGGGGGTTCTAGGGTTTTGGTTAGCCGTCTAGGGTTTTCAATTCCAAACAATGTCTCAGCTTTTGTGTCGAATCGTTAAGCTCTCCTCAGCTGCAGTGAAGAAGTAGAGACTCTGTTTCAGTGAATTGCGGTCTTTTTCCACGGCGGCGACGCCGTATCTGCTTTTCGACAACACTAACTACAGGAGGGCGAAGACAGCGTCTGGTGGATGGTGGACAGCGTCTGGTGGATCATAGATACAGCTTAAGGACAAGTATTAATTGTTGCAGAAACATTGTGTAAATAGGGAAAGAATGTAAGATTGAGACATCGAGAGATACTGCTGTTGCTTTTATTGGAATACAAACCAATATCCCACATCGGAAGATTAGAAAGAGAAGTTTCTAATATATAAGTTAAGTCCAACTCCAATTAGTATGAGGCCTTTTGGGAAAGAGCCCAACAAATCCTTGCGGGCTTGAGTGATAAGCCCAAAGCGGACAATATCATACTAATGGAAAGTTGGCTTGGTTATAGAGATTCCAACAATTGGTATCAGAGCCTGGTTAAGATTGTGGACCTAGGGGAATGGATATTGGTTTGAGGGGAGTATTGGAATACAAACCAATATCCCACATCGGAAGATTAGAAAGAGAAGTTTCTAATACATAAGTTAAGTCCAACTCCAATTAGTATGAGGCCTTTTGGGAAAGAGCCCAACAAATCCGTGCGGGCTTGAGTGATAAGCCCAAAGCGGACAATATCATACTAATGGAAAGTTGGCTTGGTTATAGAGATTCCAACAACTTTTGTGCTTGTTCTGATCACTTGAATTTTTGTGAATGACACCACATATGTTTTACAAACTTTGCCATGCGTAGAGATGTATCTACCCTCATGAGTTGATAAATCATTTGTTTTGTTGTCTCTTAATATATTGCCTTTAAGGTGTGACGCGTTCTCGGACAAAGGAGAAGTGGATCAATCAGATCCTACTGCCTCTCGCAGGAGCAAGCCTAGAGCCTTTGTGGTGTTTAGGCAAGACCCCGAGCAAAGGATGTCTTGTTACACTGAAGACATTGGTGATCTCTGCATTTTCCTAGGCAAGAACGAGGCCTTTTGCGTCTCTGCAACCGAATATCCTGGACTTCGCCCTAATTCCGTCTACTACACACGCATGGAGTCGAGGTTCGGTTTCTATGACCTCTCCGACAACACTCTCCATGATGTCTTAGATCAGCCACCTTCTTCCTTTTTAAAGCTCTGGCTTGCTCCTTTACAGTGATTTTATTATAAGCTTCTGTGTGGCTTTTAAACTCTTGTTGTAACTCTTCGGTGTTGTGATATGCGCGCATATGCCCTTCCTTTTAATTTTATACTATCTTATTATTTATTTCGGTGTTTTTGACTTTTGTCTGTGCGTGTATTCTATCTATGTAATGATATTGAACTTACTCCATAATCCCACTCCGCGCGAAGATCCTTTCCCCTGCTCTTCACTCTCTCTCAAAAGAACTCTGCAAAATCAAGGAAACATGTCGATCATAACCAATTAATATCATCAACACAGGGGCCAAACTGTTGATTTGGTATTGGAATACTTCATGAAGAAATTATTTTTTGATTACATGATTAGTTGTACAAATGGTTCTGAAACTCATAATATAAAGAGATGGGGAAAGAGACAAAAAAAAAAAAATAGAAGAAGTTTAAAACACAAAAGAAAAAATCATTATGTAATGTAATGTGCCTTTCGTGAACCTTAAGTTTCCTTCTCAAACGAATGAACGATCTTAGGAATTTAGATCTCTTCGTCTCCAAGTTATGTTTATATAGCACATGCAAAACTAAAACACCAAAATGAGTAAATTAATTTTAAGCTATAATTATCCATTTATCAAAACTCATATCAAATGTGATTGACGATTGGTATTAACATATTGACGATTGGTATTAACATAGTATTATTTTAACTTTTGTTTACTCCATTATCATATACATTATGTGCTTCTTCATGCTCATTAAAGCCATTTTTTCCTTTCAATATATATTTTTTCGAAAAAAATAAAGAAGAAGAAGAAGATAATTTTAAGTAAGTATTTTGCAAAAACAAAACAAGAAAAGATAATTCCAGTATTATTTATTCTGATTAACAAAAGACCTAAACGTCTCAAAAGAGAATTAATCTTTTGGTAAAATAAAAATAAAAAAACAAAAAAAGTAAAAGGAAATTATCTTCTTTACTGCTTTTTTATATTTATTCTATTTTTTCACCTATGAGTCAGTTTTGGTCCCTCTCGCATCGTGGACATCTTTTCATCATCGCACAAATAACAAACCTTCCAACTCCGATCGACTTATCTCTCTCCTTCTCCGGCGAAATCTCTAACCTCTCCGCCGCGAAATCGCAGTTTCAGAGAAGTACCACACTAACGGATCAAATGGTGATCCGCCATTACTGAAGCTTCTAATATCCCTTTTATATCCCAAAGAACCAAGTCGGATTTTAAGGTCAGTACTCATCTGTGTTTCCTCGTCAAAATCAATAAGGTTCCGGAACAGATTTGAACAAAATATTTCTTCTTTTATTGTTGAATTATCCAGTAGCGCTTTATGCGGTAGTTCGTTTAGGTGAAGAAGAATGACAACAGGGTCTAATTCTAATCACAACAACCATGAGGATGGTTCTGGTAAAAGCAACAGCAATAATAATAATAACCCTAGTACGAGGTCTTGGGGCACGGCGGTTTCTGGTCAATCTGTGTCTACTAGCGGAAGTATGGGATCTCCGTCGAGCCGGAGTGAGCTGGCAATCACCGTCGCTACATCTGCTAGCGACAGTACTTTTCTACGCCTGAACAATTTGGACATTCAAGGTGACGATGCTGCCTCCCAAGGAGCTTCCGGGTAAGTAAAACCACCTCAATTCTGTGATTTGGTAAAGCTTTATTGTGGTGTTGGGTTTAGCGATTTAGGGTTTCATTCTATTGCAATGGCTTAACCTTGTGGAAGCTGAACCAGTAGATATAATAAGAATGATGTGTGGATCATACTTGTACCAGCTTGAATTTTGACTCTCCTGATATGTATTGTTTGGATACATTGCTATTGCTTGAAGTTTGCCTAAAATCTTCCACTAATCTGTCTATTTGTATAATAAACCTGTCCCAGTATCCTTGTTGGGACAAAGAACACTTTTTAGGCCACTGTGTTTGTGTGTTAATTGTTACATTTTTTCTGTATAGTTCAATTTGATCATTAAGCTATTAACAGTGGTAAGAAGAAGAAGAGGGGACAACGTGCGGCTGGGCCAGATAAGAGTGGAAGAGGGCTACGGCAATTTAGCATGAAAGGTTGTTATATCTTATCTCTGCCTCTTTTCTGCTTCCATCTAAATGTCTTTGAAGTTTCTAGCTACGAATTGTGGATAATGCCTCCTAATTTTGGTTATACTATTAACTGATATTTTTTTGTTCTTCTGGCTTCCTCTCAGTTTGTGAAAAGGTGGAAAGCAAAGGAAGGACAACTTACAATGAGGTACGGTAGTTTCCTTAAAACAGAAAGCTTCACAATATGTCTGCCTTACAAGATCCGTTAACTTCCGTTTACGTTATCTCATTTGAAACTACTTTCTTTTGCTTATACATTTGTCAAGATCACAAAGTGGAATATCAATTTGACTCATGAGAAGTATTGCACACGTGTCGCTCTGCAAAACGGTATCTGACAGCTTTAAGTACTTTCAGGTTGCAGACGAGCTTGTTGCTGAATTTGCACTCCCAAATAACGATGGAACATCCCCAGATCAGGTATGCGTTTCTTCTCTAGTTTATTACTCAAACATGTGCGATACTTGTTGTAAACTCTGATAAAATTATATCACAACGTTTTACCAGCAACAGTATGATGAGAAGAACATAAGACGAAGAGTATATGATGCTTTAAACGTCCTCATGGCTATGGATATAATATCCAAAGATAAAAAAGAGATTCAGTGGAGAGGTCTTCCTCGGACAAGCTTAAGTGACATTGAAGAATTAAAGGTTTACACCAAATATGCTGTTTGCCCATGTTCGAAAGCTCGTTCAGAGAATATTCCTTATTTGAGTTCATTTTTGTTTTGCAGACCGAACGACTCTCTCTTAGGAACAGGATTGAGAAGAAAACTACATATTCCCAAGAACTGGAAGAACAAGTAATGGACACAAAAAAAACTCTGGGCCTATATGCTTGATCTTATTGTTACTTTTATCATAGATCCTTACATGCTTCTTCTTTCCTCTCTGTATGTCTGAAAGTACGTAGGCCTTCAGAATCTGATACAGAGAAATGAGCACTTGTATAGCTCAGGAAATGCTCCCAGTGGCGGTGTTGCTCTTCCTTTTATCCTTGTCCAGGTAACTTTACCAACAGCTTCATAGGATCCTAGATTAATCCACAAGTAAATCTCTAGAACATGAAAAAATGCTCCTTTTCATCGTATCGGGTCCTTTATCGTCTGATTGTTGTTTGTTTCTCTGCACCAGACTCGTCCTCATGCAACAGTAGAAGTGGAAATATCAGAAGATATGCAGCTCGTGCATTTTGATTTCAACACGTAAAAATCAAACACCAACTTTGATCTCTTTTCAGCTAAATTCTCTACTATATTGATTACTGACACTGCTACAATTTTGCAGCACACCATTCGAGCTCCACGACGACAATTTTGTCCTCAAGACTATGCAGTTTTGCAATCAACCGCCGCAACAACCAAACGGTCACAACAGCCAGATATTAGCGCTGGAAAACACTAACGAAGTCCCCAGCGCTGGTCCAACGACGCAGCCGGATATGTACCAGTCTCATCTTCAACCGCAACAACATCAGCTACAAATCATTCCTACGCCTGTGACTAACGAAGTTGCTTCAGCTACTGATACTGATCCAGTGGTATTACCGTCTCACTCTCACCCAGAGATAATGAACTCCATCGTGAAGCCGGAGAACTGAAACACGTATGAAGGCCATTGTACAATTTCTGTAAAACTGTAAAGTAGTCTTGAAAAACTACCTGGTTTTTTTTGTAATGATTAGCCGGTTTAGCGGTATATTTGTACCGGTGTTCGGTATTAGTAATACCGAGTCTAAGATTATTTCTCGGGTTTAGCGATTTTAACAATCTTTGCCATAGGAAAAAAAACAACTTTGTATGGGATCGTGTAGAAATGAATTTTCTTAACCGTTTGGAAATTGCAAAATTCGATTAGTCGATGTTTGGGTTTAGTTATAAACCGAAACCTTGTAATGGTTCGAGATTATAACCGTATGGGATTATGGAAGATGGCGAAGAAATTAGTTAAATAGATTCCCGGTTATGTGAAACCGAAATCCAATAATCAATCATATGATTAGAGAGACATATATTGTTGTGTTGTTTCATGGTATTCGAATCTCTCACTGAGTCGTCATCTTAATAAATGCTGGGAACTTGAGCAAGTCCGGCCATGGCGACCATTTCTCATATACCTTTCTCTATGTCCTTCCCGTCTTTCGAATTTCGGAAACCATCGTTCTATTATCATCGTCATCAGCAACCTCAACTTTTCGTTTCGTACTTGAATTCCACGAAGAAGCATGGTTTTGTCTGTTTCGCTTGTTCCATCAAACCAACCAGGTTCGAAATTTCTCCTGTCTTTTTAGTTTTTTGCTTCGATCTGTGGAAGAAATTGACGTACTTTGGGTGTCAATTTCAGTTACTGTATTGGACTGTGTTGAATTCGATCGAGTGTTTTGCAGAGTTCGTAAGAGAGTGAAGAGCAATGAGGAGCTTCGGAGTGAGATTACGGAGTTCGTTGCTTCGGCTGGTCTTCCCGAAGGTCACGTGCCGTCCATGAAGGAGCTCTCGGCACATGGAAGGTTCCAAATTCGAATTTTGCAGTTTTTGTTAAATTTCTAGCAGTCTGTAATGTTGATCAGTTGGTAGGCTCGTTGAATCTCTCTAAAAGTCTTCTGATTTTTATGGATTCCTTCTGAAATCTCTTGATTTAATTTAGTTTTGGTCGTGGGAACATTTTTTGTAGAGTTGATCTAGCCAACATTGTCCGACGAAGGGGATATAAGTTTATCAAGGAACTTCTTGCAAATTCAGATGTGGAAGAAGACTCTATAGAGGTAGTCCCTGAGAAAAACGCGAGCGTGGAAACAAGTGCAGGTCACATTTCTTTGGAAGATTCGATAACAGGTCAACACATAATCAACAAACAGATAAGAATGTTATTATAAGATAATCTGATATATTTTCTGGTGTAGAAGGTCAGGGCGAAGGAGCACTGAATGTGGTTGATGCAATCTTGTCTTTTGAACTACCTTCGAGCAGTGAAATATACTTAACTGCAACAGATGGAAGAATGCCTCTTGATCAGGGAAAAGATCTAAATGATGTTGTCACAAATTCAAGTACCGAGGCTGAAGAACACGGAAATTTGAGTAAAAATGAATCGTCATTGGCTGGATTTTTGAGCATGGAAAACTCCCTTTCTAACTTGGGTGACAATGATCATTCAGGAGATATTACAGAAAACAATTTGAAGATTGAGAGCGTGGAGCTTAATAATAGAGCTGCCATTGAAAACTCATCTTCTGAAGCTTCAATATCTGCAAACCATTCTCTAGTTTTAGATGATACTTCAAGCCGCTGTCCCGACATAGAAGCTGACAATGTTTTGATGACAGAGGATGGGGAGGTCAATTATGTGGAGAAAGATACCTATGGCCATTACACCAGTCCTACCTATGATCACTACACCAGTCCTACCTATAATCATTACACTAGTCCAGATCCCAGTTACATCAAACATGTTGACATTGCTACTGAATCCTTGCCTCTTTTGACCTCGGAAAACACCATGTCAAGTGCAGAGAATTTTCAGAGTCAGCAGATTGATGATATGGTTGGAAATAGTTCTGGTCGTGTTGATGATAGCTTAGTTGAGTCTGAGGATAAGGATTGGATGTTAGGATTTTCTTCTCAGACTTCAAGCATAGAAGAAAAAACAACCAGATTTATTCAGAATGGATACTTGGATACAGGTGATGGTAATTTTGATCTTCTGAAGCCTATATGTGGCATGTCGGATTGATATCTTCATTATTCATGCATGTCTCTGTAGTAAAACTTTACCTCCGTGGTGAAATAGTTAATTGATTGTTGGAATCTGTTTCAGATGAGGAAAATGACATACCCAATGGAAGCTGTCCTGAAACTGAAGAAAGTGCAGAGACAACCATAGGAGACAGTCATGGTGGTAAGAGAAGTGTAAGTACTCCACCAAATGGAAGTGCCCTAGCATTGGAGGAGTTTACGTATGCTACAGAAGTTAATAGCTCTGACAGGTGAGTCTAACCATGAAGGTCAAGTCTGGTGCTTTTGATCATTATTTGCATTTAATAATGATCATGGATAGTAAATCCAAGCTTAAGACATTAGGTGTATCTCAAGAAATTGGTATTGTTCAGATTGTTTTTGCATTAAAAGAACATTATATCGTTAGTCGATTATTGGAAGTCACGCCATACTTTTATATCATTAGAACTTGAGTGATGCTGGTGTACATTGATTGGACACCAGTCTTGACTGAAAGCCTGGATTAGCTATCCTAGAAGTTTTTCTCATGTTCATTTCTATGTTTCACTTCAATATCTCTGACTTTTAAACTTTTATTTACAGGAATAGTGATCAGAGAGATGGGAGTGCTGACATGGATACGGATCCACATGATGAGGTCTTGAAAGATCCTTCTCACTAACCTCTTCAAATTGATCTGAAGTCATTGCACTTTAACTTTTTTTTGTATCCATGCTCATAGAACCTTGTTCTAAAATGATACAGACCAGGAAACGGGAAAATCAGGTTGAAATTACTCGGCTGAGGTCCATGCTGGTACATTGATTGCTTTCTCTAAATATGTGGACCCTATAAAAATGATTTTTGCTAACTAACTTTGTTGGTAATCTATTGCATGGCTAGCTTCAAAAAGAGCTGGAGCTGTCAAAGTTGAAGGAGCAGATTGAAAAGGAAAAGGTAACCTACTCTCTCGGAACATATTGTACATACTACATAGGTATCCATCAACGAAAATGTTGAAGAGGTACATGAATGGTGGATTCTACACATCTGACTATGCTTGGATGATACTCGACTTGATATTTATCTAGTCTCATGTAAAGGCTGATACTTGTTTGTGTTCCTAATCTCCAATTTCCTGGGTTCAGCTGTCTCTATCAGTTCTCCAAAGACAGGCTGAAACAGAGATCCAAAAGGCCCAAACGCTTATCGCAGAGAAGGAAGTTGAATTGCAAGAAGCTGAGGAAAGTCTTTCAGGATTGCAAGAGGTAACTTAATTTTACTTCATAGTTAATTGTTTTATCATGGTTCCAATGTAGACAAACAAGTATCAATACAATCCCAGAGCCAGAGGCCTCACTGCACTCTTACCACTGAAAGCCAAGATTCTTAAAAGTAATTTTGCACTTCAGGTTGTGATTGAATATAGCGGAGATGGTAATGTTGTGGAAGTGACTGGTAGCTTCAATGGGTGGCAACACCGAGTGGGAATGGAACTACAAGCATCCAAGTCAATGGGGTTAGTATTTGTCCTGAAACTCTCTACTTTTATTGAATTGTCTTCTAATGATGAACATGTGAAGGTCTCTTTTAATATATGGGTAATGTTGCTTGCATAAATATGCCTTCAAATTACAATCATAATCCGTTAAATTCAGATTCTACCTGTTTAATTTTGTGCAGGAAACAGAAATGCTGGTCAACATTACTATGGTTATATCCCGGTACATATGAGATAAAGTTCATCGTGGACGAGCAATGGATAACGGATCCTCAGAGAGATTCGGTTACAAGAGGACACATCACAAACAACATTCTCAAAGTAGACAGCTGATGATTTCTTGCTTTTCTTCGAGTTGAAATTACTTTACACGAGCGGAGTGGGCTTCAACAGGTGAAAGGAACAGTGCAAATCGTTTCAAAGTTTTGTTAGCCTCTTCAATTATTTCAAGTCATATAACGACGTTTTGCTTTTCTTCTGAAGCCTTAGGGGTAGTAGACTTTGTACAAAACTGTAATTTCAGGTAAATGATTAAATAATACATGATTATGTATCAAGGGTTCAAGTCCCTTTAGAATGCAACATAAGCATAATTCTTAAACCTTTCAAGAGAAAATGTGTAAAAGCAGAACCCTTATGGGTTACTTTCCTACAAATTTCATTATTTAGAGTTGATAACAGATAAGACACTGAATTTAAAGGTTTTGATAAATATGTTTTTGCCACAATAACTGCTTCAGATCCTTAGAAGTGTCAGATTCTGATCCTACCCTCTCCAGTTACTTCCTCTCAGGTTCTGTGACGGAACATGGAAGCCACTCAAGTAGACCATTTGAAGCTGCCTCTCATGCTCGACCTGTACTCAAACTTGTGTCTATTTGATTTCTACTAACACATCTTTCTTGAATTTCTTGCATAGTGCTTGTGCAGCTAAGTCAATCCGTGCATTATCCTGTAAAAAAAACTTGTGAGCCTCGAAAAATGAGGAAAGAAATGAAACCAGACCTTGTGTGTTTGTACCTTCCCCTTTAAGCAGATGATGATGGGACCTTGTCTAGATTTTCGGTAACACCCTGTGAAAAAGATTGCGGTTAAAAACAGAGACTTTGGATGCTCCTTAGTCCTTACAGTTAAATAATATTAGACAGGTCAAAGATTTAATACCAAGATATATATCTGGGAATTCGAGTCCAAGTTTGGACAGAGGTTCTGCAACTTCAACCTGCATTTTGATAGTGAAAACTTAAGCAGCTCGAAGAAAGCACAGATCTATCAACAGCTAGGTTCAAACAATGATGTTTGCATGAAATAGTGGAAAATATTTGTTTAATCAGTTGAAAGCAAGCCATGGGAAAAGAAAAACATACATCTGTTAAAGATGTCATCAGGCGCCTTGACGAATATTCTAGGAGTGAAGAACCTCCACCCAATTTAGTAAGTTCCGTCAGACATTCCCACTCTTTCTCAAGCTCCTCAGTGTTTGTAGCAGCAAGAACAATCACATTGCGGCACTTGATCTACACAAATTTACCCGACGATCAAATGGGTAAGAAAATAATGCTGAAACATTATAACTTTGAATTTGGTTCTGAAAGGACATACCAATGGCACTGAAAGCTTTTCATGATGCAGTAGTTCAGTAATCCCTTCTGGTAACTGAGCCATCTGAAATGTGAGAAAGCAACAAATATTATTTCTTTCTGGATATTACGCAAATCATTAGCATGGAGTTAACCCCACCAACATATACACAGAAATGATTCTGCTCCTGTTTAGTTTTAGCTTATCTTTTCTGAAGATATGTAGATCTATAAAAACTTTTATTTTCAAGACCGAACTCACCTCATTCCTGTCACCTGTGCACTGCTCGCTTATAAGATGCCTAAGGTATTCCTCAAACTCTTCATCAGGTGCCTGAATAAATGTGCATCATGAGCCTCTCACATTAGAACTGAGTGGTGATTTTTTTTTTTTTTCATTGAGATGCTAAGGCAAATATCTTAACCATCAAAGAGAAACGCACCAGGCGAACTCCAAATGCCTTAGCAACACCAGCCAAAGTAACATCTGAATGCAAAGGACCAACTCCTCCATATATAAATACCTTCAAAAGCATCAATCAGAGGAAATCTGTCAGTCACATCTTCCACAACGAAATTTCTATTTGACTTTGATTTTTGGTTTTATGATAATCTTTTTAATGTACTTACCAGATCACTCGTAGACCTTTGGCGATCAACTTCCTCGGATACAGAATCTATCTAATTAAAGAAACACAGTGAAACAATAATAGAAATTAATAAACGGACTGAAGAAAAAATTTACATTCTCTAATTAACATGTTCTATGGGTGAAAAACTGATGCAACAAAGACAATGCGTAAATCTCACTCACATCATTCCGAAGAACAGTGGTTTGCTGCACCGACCAACCGACAGAAGTCAACTTCTTACACAAAGACAATCCTAATTGATCCTCAACAGTGCCAGACCTGAGCTATGGAACAGATAAATGGGTCGGAAGAACTTCATTGGACCTAGTAGATAAGTGACCAAGCAGGACCCTTTTCAACACGTGGTTGGCCTAAATCTAATGTCATTGATTGATATATATCTAGCATAATGTTCTCTTAACATAAATATCTTTAAAAACAGAGCCTAGTCTAAGAATTAATGACTTACAGAATCTCATCACCGACCGCAATTACTGAGGCCAAAAGCACCTCGTGTTTCTGTGATTCGGTTTCTATGTCATTTTTGAGTGAAGCAATTTTCTTGACTCTCCCTGCCCTTTCTAATCTCCCATCAGAAAGTAGATAAGCGGGTTTGAATTTCTCTTTACTGCTAGTGTCGTTAACAGACAATAATGAGTTGGGAACAGTATCATGAATACTCCCAATTGATGTATATCTGTATATTCAGAAAAGAGACAAAATATAAGACGAATTGGTCAAAAATGAAAAAATCTTGTTAAAGTGAATCTGTTGAGAGGACTTTTACCCCTGGTCATAAAGGCTGCAATACTTGACCTTGCAAGTTAGGAGAAATGCCCAAACATCTCTGCACAAGAAAAGTTAATAAAAAAAATCAGAATAAATCAAATGAGAATAAGAGATCACAGCACAGTAAAGAAGCTTGAGTTTTCAAATTTCCAAAGACTTTATTTGGGTTACACAATCATATTATGGCTGTACATCTTACAGGACCACCAAAGCTGAAAGTTTGATAGACTTTATCATTATAAAAAATCTAATATCAGTAAAATTGAGCTTAAGATTTTCTGTGTCACCCATACCAAAACATAAGTAAGAATAAACCACCAATCCAATTTTACTGTACATATAACGGATAAAAGCAATAACAATATATTATTACAGAGAAAAAGATACCTGTACGACCAATCCAATATAGGATTCACCCTCATAAAGGGTGGCCATCCAGGTGAACTAGGAGAGAATTGTTCTTGACCAACCTGATAAAATTGAGTGAGATGTAATCAATCACAACAAACACTTCTTTCACTAGTTTACAAAATATTTGCATCTGAATCTTAAGATTAAAGATTTGAAGTGAAGCTAACCGCAGTAGGATCACCAATTCGGACGCCAAGGAAGATAGCTCTGATAGGGTTAGCCTTTAATAATGCCTCCAACCCAGATTTGAAATCCTGGCGAATGATATCAAGTTGCAGATTGTAACTGCCCATATAAAATAAGATGATTAGCTAACTGCACAAAGAATATCATTCTGGAAGCATATGCAGTTCGAAAATCTTTACCCGAAATGCTATCATCTTTAGTTAGAAGATATAAATATGAGAAAGAAAAATGAACACAGAGGAACAGTACTTTTCTTACGTTTGAGCTGCATCATATGTAAATGCATTAATTTCAGTGAAGGCAGAAGGGCTCTCAAAATATATGGTCCGGACTGGAAAGCTTGATAGACCTCCATTAGAACAACTCTGCTCTTTCTTATGCAAAAAATAGCCAGCTCTAAGAAGGTGCAACAGTACCTAAAATCATGATGAGAGTCATTATTATTTACTTAGGAAACAGGGAAAAAAAGAAGAAGAAAATATCCAAAACGGAGACTTTCTGAAGGGAACAGTTGTAACTTACAGTAGAGTCTTTTCCTCCATTGAAACTAAAGGCGACCTCTTCAATACTGCAGAAGTCGACAAGCTCAATATTTTCAGGAATCAGTAAAGTAAATTTCATTTAATGATCTTGAAAATGATCACTTTATCTACAACCATAGTGTAATATTTGGACAGCATACACAAAGATTGAACATGACAAGTACACGGCAAACAAGAAATGAAAAGAAATCACTTTTCTAAAGGTACAAAACACTTGACAACACTTATAACTGATTAAAAAGACACCAAGAAGGGTTAGCAGCCAAGTGTAGTGAACTTGTAGTGGAAAACAAAGTCAAATTTTCTTTCAACAAATTCGACAAACCCATGAGTCTTTACAAGATCCTCACGTAGTCACACGTCATAACTCATCCATAGAGGATGAAGTTTTCCATAATGCCATGGGATATGGTTAGAATCTAGGCAGTTTATCAAGAATTACATAAAAGCAAAATCATTGCCAAGAATCTTTTCACTGAGATCGTCAAATTCCTTTCTATTTTAGCAAAATCCAGCAAAAATCTCTCAACGTTCAACTCCTAATAACAGCATCACATCAAAATAGTATATTTTTTTTATCAGATTTTCAAAGTAAAATGTTAAATCTCCAGCAACAAATGAAGAAAATGAATCTGAAGATCGAGAAGTAAGAGTAAACCAAAGGAAGTGAGAAGAGTAAATGAGAGAGGGACTGACGAGTAAAGAGCAAGAGCTCTTTTAATGACGAAGATGGCGTTATTGTACTTGGTCTTCAACCTCTTATCATCGCTTTCCCCGATCGCTTTGTCGATCTCCATCTCTCCTCACCTGGTAACACAAAATGCAAAGATCATAAGAAACCCAAACAAGTAATAAGGCCAATGCTTTACAATTCGGATTGAGTAAGCCGTTGTTTGTGCAGATTGAGTAATCCACAGATTTAGGAGCTTTTGGGACGATAATAATAAAAGTTCTCACCTTTATTCCGACGACTCGAGAATCTCGTCGGAAGTATTTACCCGATTGCCGGAGATGCAGAAGGAGAGAGATAAAACACACAAAAACGAGAAATTCGTTTTGGACTCTTAAGAGCAGATTCTTCTTCTTCTTCTTCAATTTTATTTATGGATATTTTCTTTTCTTTTCCTTATGAAAGAATTTTTCAATTTTTTATTGCCACACCCAATTTATCTAAAACCCACCAAAATAAATTCTGAAAAAAAATCAGAGAGATAACAACTGACAATAAAATTTATAAAAAAAATAATTGAATATGAAAAAACAGAGAAGAAAGACAAAAAAGCTTTGGTCATTCAAGATTTTCTTATTTGCATAATTTTGAAGAAAATAATAATAAATATAAAATAAATTTTCCTTGCAAAAATAAACTCAGTTAATGGAAAAACCATGGATGCATACTAAATTATATCATCATTTCTATTGGGAGGACAAATTTTGAACTTTTGTTTAGAAGCAATACAAGGATTATGAAATAAAAATTTAATGAAATGCTATCTACGTTGCTTGTCAACCAAATTTTGTTCAAATACATTGAACCTAATAAACCAATGGTGGTTATTTTATTATTAGCTCAGATCAAATACAAATGTTCAGGTTTTTGTCGACGATGTTAACTATTATAATTACGTTACAGCAAAATAAAAAAACTGTAATACCAAAACGTCATTCAGAATCTAGTACACACATTTGACCGACTAATCTTAGTTATCATAAAATTATATTCCCTAAATAATAATACGATTTTTTTTTTTTTTTTAAGTTACAACTTTTGTTAAGCTTCGTTTTCGTAGAATGGATTCGTCACGGTCATCGATTTCCTTTTCTTTTACTTTTCTATGGGTTATCTAAGTGAGTGCGTTTCGACACCTAAAACACACAATCGCAATCACCAAACGCAGTATCACGATCATACACGTTTTCTTTGCCTAACTATTGTAAATCCCAAGTTCATCTCAGCCGTTTCTTTTAATGCCAACGACACTAAAATGATTACTCAAGAATATTTTGCACTGCACAAAATATCACATGGTAAACATCATTAGATCAACCAAATGGCATCTTTATGTTGGTCGAACTCTTATAAGCATTAGATAATTCAAACAGGAGCATGAGCCTTCCTTAGTTTTAGGTGAAAGTGTCATGGAAGAGAATCTCAAAAACACCTAATCAAAGTTTAGTTATATATTCATGGTATGTCAATGAAAAACCAGAGTTTCTTCTAAAGACATTGGAATTTGATCATTAGAGCCTGCAACTAAATTCTGTACCAAGAATACTGAGAATCCCCTCTCGTTGTTACCTACTCGAAAAGACCATCCCCGTGCCAAATATCAAACAGAAAATCCACCATTTCCTGCAAATTAAAGAAGATTGCAACCAAGTTAATACCACCAATGCGGGTTGAAAGATTATTCTCCAAGGCGGACAACGAAGGAGATGAAAAGTAGAGTATTGTAGCAACTCACAGCTAGAGGGATGGGCTTGTGAAAAGGAGTGGTGGACGTGAGCAAGTCTTCATAAGTAGCGTTGAAGCTACAAATTACAAAAAACATTTATGGGTTAGAAAAAGGAGTTAAATATATGTAAACCTGGAGCTTGGCGATTTTAAAGTGGTGAGCAATGAATAATTAAGCTTTACCTTATTACAGGTTCAACAGGCATCTCTGAAGTCCTATTAGATGGATCACCAACCCACTTCTTTCTCATCTCTTGCCACGCAATCTCAGCTGTAGAATAAAGGGTAATCACAATCTAAGATCATGTGTACTTCAGTCTAAATCTGACACACTAAAGTAACTGAGGAGTGCTGACTTAGACTAAATGTGACACTGGTTAACCTGATGAGACAATCAGTTTCCCTTAATTGTCAAAAGACTATCAATAGACCTTGTTCGAGACAGCATATAGAAAACCCTAAAACAACAAATTGTGAAAGGTGACAAAGCTTACCACTGTTCACAAAGTTGTTCTCAGTGGATACTTCTTTATCAATATTACTTGGAGTAGTTGAAACATTTGCAGAATCAACATTAGCTTCCATTGTCCTTACAAAGACCTCTTTGCAGAATCAAAAGGCAGATCAGAATGCCCAAAAACTTGAAGCTTGAACCGAGATAGGAAAAACTCTGGAAAAAACAAAAACTTTTTAATCATGATCACGACGAAACGAGATTCAACAGTTTATACATACAGAGTAAAGACCATGAGCCTACTATAATCGTATCAAGAGGAAGACAGGCACTACAATATGATTCGCACAATCAGAGGCATTAGTTCTAATCGGCATAAAAAACCCTTAAACTTCTTCTGGAACCCGAAAGCTAAAAAGATCAGAAGATGAACCTAATTGAAACCCTAGAATTGGTTCAATCACAATCTGGCGAAATCAAGACGAAGACAAACGAGAGAGAGAGAGAGAGAGGTGGAGGAGGAGGAGGATGTAACCTAAGCTGATTGGAATCTTCGACGACTGAAAGAGATAATTCCTCTCGCCGAGAAAGAAATCGGAAACGTGTAAAGGTAAAGTAGAATCCAATTGAATCGACGAATCTTTATTTTCCTTTTTCTTTTAAAAATCAACTTTATTATATACTCTCTAACCATATATAATTACTCTACTTAACTAATTATAATCAATGATTTGGTATGACCGACCTTAGCTCAGTTGGTAGAGCGGAAGACTGTAGTAGTTGCTGTAATCTTTAGGTCGCTGGTTCGATTCCGGCAGGTCGGACTTTTTTTTTTTATTCTGGAAAATTTTAGTGTTTTCACATCAGTTAACTTCATCTCTCTTTCCACGATTTTTCATTGTCATTTTCTTAAATCCACCAACGAATCAGAACCTGATTACATTAAACTTAAACAGTATATTGCAGGCTGCAACAATTAGATTCATAACTAAGACTATATATATATATTAAGTAATGGCTACTCTATTAGCATCTCCAGTTTACAAAAGATAGATAACTTAGCCGCTTTACAATACATGTTTGCTTTTCAACATACACCATCTATTATCCCTGCATCACTATCATATCTTTTTTCATTTTCATGGCGATTCGTTCCTAAGAAGCTGCAATTTATCATTGTTTAAGAGACCAAGCAGACCCGTGCCATTGAAGTGAGTGTATTTCACGTCTTGTAGCGGAAGATGACTTGACAATGGGAACCGCTGAGAGACTGCAAAATTCAACGGATCTTGCAAGATGAACTCCCGAGTGGACTCGTCACAAGATGCAAAAAGTTGATTCTTTTCCTCCCCAAAGTCTATAATCGTTGTTCTTGGCAAACGGATGGTGTCTACAAATGCTTGTGTGGATGACAGTTTCTGGTAATAAGAATCAGCGCCTCTTCTCTTGAGACTAACATGAAATCCATTGACACCATTACTATTGCTATTATTGACTCCTATTTGGGTCAACGAAGGTTGACTCACAGTATCATCAGAAGATCCAACTCTCGGTCTATAAGAAGCCACTATATGATCACTGCGAGGACAATACGCGGATGATATGCAAACTCCTGGGGTTCCTGTTTCTGAAATTAATGATGGGCTACACACACACAAAAAAAAAACGAAACTATAACAAGTTAGAGCCTTGAAAATGTATTGATAAACTTCTCCAAGCAGGTGCCAAAGTTCTGTGATCACTATTTCCTTTCACGTATTTTTTAGTCAACAACATTTCTAGGTTTGGTTTCATGAGATGTGAAGAAGCATCAATGTCAGAGAAACACAAAACCTCACCTTCCCTCGCTACCATTAATGTTCCACTGACACAGCCCGATGGAAGAAGCTGACAAGAGGGAACGAACATCAGAAGTTGGAGTAGAATCGGTAGAGAGATGATGGATAGTATGGACTGGATTGGTTGTTAAGCCAGTCAATGATGCGAAAGGTCCCGTTGTTTGACGCCTATCAAATACTAAAACCATTCCATTCTGTAGTCCAGCATACATATAGTGAGAGCTGTTGAGATCCCAGGAGCAAGACCAAGGTGCAGCCGGTAGACCATACGATAAGACAGTGTTGTGGCTCTCCAAATTTATAACAGATAATTTTTTTCCTAGAGAACCAAATACTGCAAGCCCATTATTGTGAGGGGAAAGGTGAAGATCTTTAATTGCTCTAGTGGTAGGAGGCAACAAAATATCATCAATCTCACCCGAATGTAGGCTCATCTGCAACATGTATATATATAGTTTCATCATTAAAACTTGCGTAAGATCAAAAAAAAAAGGCAAAAAAGAAAAAAAAAAAAAAAACTTACTTGCGTAAGCACAAACGTTCCACCAACACCTGAGAGCCTACGAGCCAATAACACAATTTTTCTACCACCATCTATGTCAAATAAACGGCCACCACTAACTAGCATTTCTCCCTACAAAAAAAATGAATAACTGCGTTAGACACATCAACACAAACGGTACTTCAGTCAGAAAATTCTAAAAACAGTGGGACTGATATGGCAGACTATGCCACACCTGATATCTGAAGCTGCAAGAAGGTGCATGTCCGTGATGTTCTTGGGAGTTCGCATAACCTGCAAGGCATGCACTTACAACTGTTTAGAAGTACATATGCATTAAATTTCAAGGGGGAAAGAAACTTATTCATCCCACTTAGGGATAAACCTCTATTACTGGTTGGGTAATGAAATGCCCTGTAAGTCCTAAGGTCAGAGTGGAAAAATCGCACAACAGCATATCAATTCTACTTGAACATATATCCCATTGAGACAATTCATCCAACAGAATGGTGCAAGCATAGAAACGAAAATAGAGGATTTTAGGTAACGCAGAAAGGGCAACCATATAATATCTGATCTTATAAGTATATTTAGTTTTAACAACGCGCCAATGTGTTGCAACCATTACGCACGTAACTGTGTACTTACCAGGTATATATTGCTTCTGAGAAGCCATATTAGCGTTTCTCTGCGCATCCATAGTAATAATTTCCATATCAGCTATCTTCTGCAAAAACAAAATTTTGTGCAGAAAAACATGTGTGACAATTTTGTGCAGACAATTAAAACAAAATCCTTGTTAGCGGATATTAGTCAAACTTAGCTACCTTGTAAAAGACAGACAACCAACTTAATATTCCAAATTTGACTAGTTTTACACTTCGTAGTGATCATAAACTATCATAATCTTTCCAAGCATAAAACAAAGTGTTAAGAGTGACTACGTTACAGCAAACTCTTAGAAGTGTACCTTCTTCAGCTTATTAACTTCTAATTGTAGCTCTGCTTCCATTTTCTTCCATTGAGCTTCTTTGTTACTCCAACTCGCAGTCTGTGAAACATGTAAGAGGATATTATTAAACGCTACAATACTAATACGAGGGGCTCACACATATGTTCCAGTCTACTGACACAGACATAACCTACATAGATGACTTATAATAAACACAGAGAGGTTTTAGTACTCAGGTAAATCTTCTTCTGAAAGATTTCAAAGAAATTCAAGAACAAAGCTCAGAACAATGCGGACTGAGTATAGAAATATCATGAACTATCCCGGCAATAATTTTGGTCCCACCTTCTGTTCAATTGAACTTAACTTGGCCTCCAGAAATAAGATTCTCTGCAAATATAAACCAAGAATATCAGATTTTGATACTGTGATTTATAATCATGTATGTAACTAGGAACTACACTCATTGTATTACCTTGTGTGCTTCATCATCTACTGCCGCAACACGTGATGCATAAATTTTCCGGACATCTCTCAGGCTACATTTTCTGTTGCATTGGGGACACTAGAAAAGAAACCACTGTGAGTCTATGCGCAAGATAACTATCATTGAACAACTACACAACAACCACACACCTTTCCTGCACGTTGTCGCTGTTGTAGCCACTTCTTGATGCAGGAAAATCCATACAAGTGTCCACAGGGAAGACAACTTGAATAACACCAGTAAGAAGTAAAGAGAAGACCAATTAGTTGCATTCAAAATATTCGACGTGACCAGAGCAAGAGATGCTCAAATTTTTTGCTTTGACAGAACCTAATCAACTACGAACTAGATGATTTCCAGTAACAAATTGCTGTGTAAGTAATCAAAATTGATAGAACTAGATCATGAAATCATCAAATTGCTAAAGCCTGTAGCATATAAAGAGCCTACGAATTCCAAAGACATAAACAATTAAAGAAACACAATTACTGGAATTGAGATTACCAGACTTGGTGTTCGCCACCGTTGGTCCAAACTTCCATACAGATCAAACAAGACAATCCCTCAGTGTCGCCGTGTTTCCATTCCACATCTTCCTGCGATCCTGAAGACGAACAAACACCTCGTGACCTTTTCTGATTCTCTATCTCATCATTCTCGTTCTGTGAAACCCTAGGTGAGTCTTCAACATCGATGTATTCCCTGGTTTGCCGTTCGGTATCTTCTTCCTCCTCTTCGTCTCCATCGTCTTCTTCGTCTCCGTCGTCTTCTTCGTCTTCTTCTTCTTCTTCTTCTTCTCCATGGTGGGCATACCTATATACTTCTTCTCCATAGAGTCTTTGTTGATTTTCAAGTGCAATTAACAGTGCAATTCTTCCTCCGGGATCACGGAGGGGCAAACCCCGGCGAGGCGGCATTAGGTCGAACCCCAAAAATTAAGCGCCAAACGACTCTGTCCGTTTCTGCCGGTGGATGACGAACACCAAAAAAAAACTTTCACTGAGAGATCTCGAAGAACAAATAATAATAATTTTACAAACTCAAACTCGCTGATTCGAACAGAGACTGTCCAATTAAAATAATTTTAAAATATTAATAAAACATTAATGCGGTGAGCGTGGATCGAACACGCGACCTTCAGATCTTCAGTCTGACGCTCTCCCAACTGAGCTATCCCCGCTTGTTGTTAATGGCAAGATAGTAAACTAAATAATTATTAAACAAGCGTTACCTCAAATTGGTCGCAGTCTTCAATGGAATTATTCGTTACTTTAGGGAAGAAAAGGAGTTAGAAGATGGGGAGAAGCATTTTTTCCTTTTTCGCTAAAAAGAAAAAAATGGCGATGGCGAGAAGCATCTCTTACATCACCTCAACTCAGCTTCTCCCTCTCCATCGCCGTCCTAACATAGCCATCATCGATGTCAGGTACTTCCATACGCGATTTGATTTCGTCGGTTTTTGTCAGTAATCTGATCTCTTTAGCAAATTTTAGTTCGAATCAATCCGATTGGTCTTAGGTTTGATTTTGCTCTACCATGTATTACTGATATGGATTTAGGAGAGTCATTTGCTTTTCAATTCTGGTTAGTTCTGTGATTAGAGATTATGAACAAGTGGAATCTCAATGTTTTTTAAAAACTGGAATTTGTAGTAGTTTAATCGGAAAAAAAAATATTAGGAATCTCATGAGCTTGGAACAAAGTTTTTTTTTGTTAAATGGTCTTAGGATCGAAGAGAAAGAACGTATCTTTCGTAATTTTTAACTAGGTTCTTATTCAGAGAGAGTTATGTCTAAAAATCCAGCTTTGTATTAATTGGATGTGTTTTGTTCTGAAGGGATGAAGAGAGGAATTATGACGGGCATATAGCTGGATCACTACACTATGCGAGTGGCTCGTTTGATGACAAGATCTCTCATCTTGTTCAAAATGTCAAGGACAAAGACACACTTGTCTTCCATTGTGCCTTGAGCCAGGTGTGTGTTTTACACTCTTTTCAGCTTCCCACAATATCTCGTTTTCCCCTTGTTTGAGTTCATATGAAACAACACACATTATAAAGCACTGTCCTGCAATGATTGAATGATAGGTTAGTTGATTCATGTTTCATAGGTTTATTATGAGAATGTGATCTGTATCTCTATCTCCTGCAATATGTATCAAAAAGTGGGTCAAGGTTGCAAAATCAAATGGTCTTTCGTGATGTTTGCCTACTAGTTGATCTATTCTTATGTATCCTTTGGAGTAGGAACCTGTTACATTCTTATCTAGGTGGTAGCACTCCAAACCATCAAAGCTCAGTCCTTTAGCAACCATTGATTTGAGCTAGTTTTCAATTCTTTGTTCTGTCCTAAGTCCTAAGTTCTAAAGGAAATGAGCTAAAGCTGTGAAATCGATTCTTTCTGCAGGTTCGTGGCCCAACATGTGCGAGAAGGCTTGTGAATTATCTCGATGAGAAGAAGGAAGATACTGGAATCAAAAACATCATGATCTTGGAACGTGGCTTTAATGGGTGGGAAGCTTCTGGAAAACCAGTGTGCCGCTGTGCAGACGTCCCTTGCAAAGGCGATTGCGCCTAAACCTGTGGTTTCCCTTGCAAAGGCCATTGCGCCTAAACCCTACTGAACCATATTATTATTATGGACCTAATTGATCTTCCACATTGACATGTATTAAAGTTGAATGAAGATTATTCATAAATAGCCTCTCCCCATCAATATGTTGGTTTACATGGTAGACCTCCAGACCAAACACCAAACGTTGATACTTAAGGGGCTTTTTTGGTATTGAACGTTTATTGAGCGTCAAAGCCACGTTAATATGTTAACGCCGTCAATTAATAATGGATTTTCTGGAATCTGCTGCTCTGAAAGGGGGACGTTAGTTTATAAACGCCGTCAGAATTCTCTCTATGATAGAGAGACTTTGCTTTTAAAGGATTTTTAGTTTTTAAAGTCATAAAGCAAAGCAACGACGACTTCAGGGGAAGTACAATCATATCTTTGATCTCTCTCTCTCTCTCCAATTCTGAAGTCGCGATTCATCTTTTTCTCGAAAATTCCCAATTCCTGAGTCAAGAACCCTAATTTCAATATGGTAAGATTTGCTCGATTTTAGCTTTTCTGTATATTGATCTAGTCTTCGTTTGTCAATTTTGCGGCTTCCATTTCAGATTGATTGAATCTATGAAGTTTCTGAAATTTCACAGGTTTGCGTTATGTGTTTGGTGCCGCTGTTCCTCGTCCCGCTCGTCAATTTAATGCCTCGCATCATTGATTTCTTCATGGTAATTGGCTCGTTATATCTTGAAAATCGTTAAGGTTTTGTTTTTTTTTTGCCTCGACAGAATGATCGGAGTTAATGTCAGAACCTACAATTCAAAATGCTAGAGTGTTGTATTCGATTGGTCTTAAAGGAGATAACTTTATTTGAATGACAAAAGGGGATTACATTAACGAAATAGGAGATTAGAAAGGGAAGAAGATAGCATTGATAGAAATCGCTGAAGATGATAATCAAGGATAACCAAGAATACAATATCATGATTTGTGCCTTGTAAAAGTAAGAAGTGATAGAGCTTTGGTTATCTGCTTCAGATGGGCTCTTGGAAAGTTGAAGATGCTAGCAATGTTTAAATCTTACTTCTGTTAGTGTTTCATACTTATTATCTTTGCCTGTGCTATGTGTACGAAATATCAGTTTATAGAGGTCATGCTTTAGTGAATCTTGCTGGTAATATTTTTCTCGAATCATTTTGCTAACTCTATGAGTTTTGACTGTTCATGCTAAATAACTAGGCGAAATTATACGCGTGGCTCGGGTGGGAGTACAGGAAGCCAGCGAGAGTTCCTCCAGCTTGTCCTTTCAAACCAGCTGCTAAAAATGATAACGCCACAAAAGTAAGTGTAAAGACTGGCTTACTTGTTTGGCGCTTTTTAGTATAGACTTTCTTAGTTAAGTTGTTTCTTGGTTGAAGCAGTTTAGTTGGTGAAATATAGGTTTGATGCTTCACTTGGCTGTTTCATGTTAAATACTTCAATTCAACAATATTTCATGATTCCATTAGCTTCGATGAATTTCTTTACTCTCTCTCTCTTTGAATATTCACTTTGTATACAGTTTCTGAGTTTTCCATCCTTATATCTGTTGTGTTTGCATTTGAATCTTATATGTAAAGCACATTTTCTTTTGTTGTAAATGTAATAGGTGGGTGCTGAAACTGGAACTGAAGGTTCAGAAACAATAGCTAAACATGTCATTGTGGAGGAGACGGATGGGGTTAAGCAGGATTGAAGCCCGGGTCCTTTTTTTTCTCAATAAAGCTTTTGTATTTGTGGATATGTTTTGGATCAGAGAAGCTGGGAGATGAAATTACCCTCTTGTGATAATGACGTACGTTGAAAGAAACTTATTTGGTAATTTTCCCCGTTAAAAATGCTACGTAACAGGTCTATTTCTTATATGTTCACTTGTCTTCTTTTTATTTTTGTCTAGAATTTTTGCATGTGGGAGATGTCGAATTCCTCAGTTAAACTCGGATCACTGAATTAGTTGAGGTAGAAACACTTTTAATTTAAGATATAGCCACTTCAAATTCTTACAAGCACAGCCAATCGAATCATGCCTTGTTGTTGTATCCATCCCTTCGTTTTCTTCTAAGGTTGTTATTATCCATCCATAGTGAAATTTTGGAATATATAATTTTAAAGATTTGTCTATAGCGACTACTCTGTTTATTTGATTTCATCACCATCAAAATCTAGTGATGACCACTTGTAACTATTTAATATTGTCATCTTATTATTAAATTGATAATGAAATTTATATGTGTGTAAAATTTTATCTTTGTAAAGCATCTTTTTACATATATATATTTGAATTAAGGATCGTGTTTGCATAAATTCATAATGATCATAATTTCAAATAATGGACCAAATTGTTAAAGTTGCGAGCACTTCACTCACAAGCCACGTGCACAAGCAATCACACTTACGCTAACGTTTAGGATAAAGAAATATCATAAAATGTGATTTCAAAAAGATAAATAAATAAAAAAAGAACATCAAAAACAATTTTAAACACTTTTTTTTTTTAATAAATATCTTCGTGTCTGGTTTACAAAAAAAAAAAAAATATATATATATATATATATCTTCGTGTCTTGGTTGTGATCGAGAAGAGAAAGAGAGATTTTGAATAACAAAAGAATATTTAAAATAACGTTACCTTTTAATTTATACATTTTTCTGTTTCCACTTTAATCTGAAGATCCTCTCTTCTCTCTCTCTCTCTCTCTCTCTCTCTCTCTCTCTCTCTCTCTTGCTCTCGCTCGCTCGCCGGCAAAATTCGCTGTTCAAATCTCCGGTCATTTCTCCGAGGATCTCTTCGATCAATCCAACGGTTTCATTTTTATCATCTCAGATCTGACAGAGAAGATTGATGCTGAAGAAGTGTAGTGGAAGACGGTTTTTGATGTAAAGCAGTTGAATCTGAATACGTAGAGATTCAATTCATCTTTCGTTTCATGCTTGATTCAATTTGAGTTCTCTTTTCGCTGAATCTCGTTCGCCAAACCTAGGGTTTCTAATAATAGGGAGAAACGAGGAAACAACTAGGGTTCTCTCTCTGAGGTCTGTTTCCAGTGCGTAAAGCCATGTTTAAGAAGATCATGAAGGGGGCTCATCGAAAGGCCTCTAGAACTGAGGCGAATGATTCGTCTATGTATGGGTTTGATCCACCAGGTAGGTCAGGTCCTGGATCCAATATGGTTGTAAATCACGCATCTCGTGGTTCTCTGATCCCTTCTTCTCCGGGTTCAATGGTGGCCACCGCACAACCGCCTCCTATGTATTCAGTCGAGCCTCTTCCGTTGTTCAGAGACGTGTCTGTTTCCGAGCGCCAATCCTTGTTCTTGAGGAAACTGCAGATTTGCTGTTTTCAATTTGATTTTACAGATACGTTGAAGAATGCGAGGGAGAAGGAGATTAAGAGGCAAACTTTATTGGAGCTTGTTGATTTTATACAGTCTGGTGCAGGGAAGCTCACTGAAGTTTGTCAGGAAGAAATGGTAAAGATGATTTCTGTTAATATATTCCGGTGTCTTCCTCCAGCTTCACACGAGAATACAGGTCAAGAGCCTGCTGATCCTGAGGAAGAGGAGCCTTATTTGGAACCATCTTGGCCTCATTTACAGCTTGTTTATGAGTTGCTGCTAAGATACATTGTTCCTTCTGACACAGATACAAAGGTTGCAAAACGGTATATTGACCATTCCTTTGTGTTGAAGTTGCTTGAATTGTTTGAGACTGAAGATCCAAGAGAAAGGGAGTACTTGAAAACGATTCTTCATAGGATTTATGGGAAGTTTATGGTCCACAGACCCTTTATTAGGAAAGCAATGAATTACATATTCTATAGGTTTATCTACGAGACTGAGAGACATAGCGGGATTGGGGAGCTTTTGGAGATTCTGGGTAGTATTATAAATGGATTTGCTTTGCCAATGAAGGAGGAGCACAAGCTCTTTTTGATCAGGGCGTTGATACCTTTGCATAAGCCGAAACCAATCGCTATGTATCATCAACAGTTGTCTTACTGCATTGTCCAGTTTGTGGAGAAAGATTATAAGCTTGCGGATACAGTGATCAGGGGTTTGTTAAAGTTTTGGCCTATGACAAACTGTACAAAAGAGGTTCTCTTTCTCGGTGAACTTGAAGAGGTTCTGGAGGCAACACAAACCGTTGAGTTCCAACGCTGTATGGTCCCTCTGTTCCAACAGATTGCTCGATGCCTCAGTAGCTCAAATTTTCAGGTTAGCAACTCTCGTATGGCTTGGTTTCTCTTTTCAATCTGGTCATTAAAAGTTCTCATTTATGCATATTAACCTTTAAATTTTGGAGCCTTTGCTGTATGAAAGACTTATGTTGTGTGGTAATATTGCATATGGAGGCTATGATCTAGATTCTAGGCCAGTAACCTCAAACTCATGTTCTGACTCCTCCATTCGAAAAAAAAAAAAAAAAAAGTATGTGCTTGGCATGGTTCACGTTGTTTTATCTTCTTTTCCTTTTATTCCATGCTTCCTCAGCATAATGAATCTGATCATAGCCATCTCTGTGGATAGGGTTATCTCATGTAATTGCTATTACAATCTGCTAAATGAATTATTTGATTCTTTTCATGAATCATCAATCATCTTGTGTGTCACTCGTCTTGATTTAGCTCTGCCAGACAACCAACTCCGCTGAATTGATTGAAACCTTTGCTTTTGGTTTGTTCAGTTATGATTGAACTCTCTTTGCACAAATAGCTACACCATGGTTTCATCTTCTCTACAGGGGTTGATAGCTTAAAGTTTAACCAACATATTGCTTGAAATTTACTTTCAATCTCTCATACTCAAAAGTGCATATATTATCATGCAATGCAGGTTGCAGAACGAGCTCTGTTCTTATGGAACAACGAGCATGTAGTGGGTCTAATCGCTCAGAACAGAAGCGTGATTCTTCCTATCATATTCGGTTCGCTGGAGAAAAACACAGAATCTCACTGGAACCAAGCAGTTCACGGTCTAAGCGCGAATATAAAGAGAATGTTCATGGAGATGGACCCTGAACTTTTTGAAGATTGCCAGCAACAGTACGAAGAGAAACAAGCGAAATCTAAGCAAGTGGAAGAGCAACGCCAAGATAGGTGGAGGAGATTAGATGAAGCAGTAGAGGAGCGAGAAAGAGAAGATCCAATGATCACTTGTTAGAAAAATTTACCAAATCATCAAGTAAAATAATATTCTTTTTTTTCACTTCTTCTCATTTCACTAATCGTTGCAAATTATCATATTTTATTTATTTTATTTTAAAGGTCTGGATAAAAAAAAGTCCTTAAATCTAGCCATTAGAATATATATTATTATTTTTTTCTCTATTTGAGAATCTTTAATGGTGTGCTGCTCAATCCAGCTTTAATGGTCAACTATGTAAATTTGAGAATATAAGAAATTGAAGAAGGGAAAATAACAAATATAAGTTTTATTAAAAAAAATAGAAAAGGAAAATTTTGATAAGGGTAACCAAGTGATAAGTAAAAATTTTAGGTTACCAAATCTCTTCTCGCTTGGTTTCTCTTTTCAATTTGTTCCTCTAACGTTTCTATTTATGCATATCAACCTTTGCTATTTAGCTTCCTATATAAAGGCTTATGTTGTGTGGTAATTTTGCACAAAATTTGCACATTGAGGCAATGGTTGGGCCTATTACCTCGAACTCATATTCAAATACAGAATATAAAGAGAATACTAAAGCGTGGAACCAAGTTGTTCAAGGACTAAGCGTGAATATAAAGAGAATGTTAATGGAGATGGACCCTAAACTCTTTGAAGATTGTCAGCAACACTACAATAGAAACAAGTCAACTCAGTTTGCTTTGAAAAACACCGAATATAAAGAGAATACAAAAACGTGGAAACAAGCCGTTTACAAACTAACCGATAATATAAATAGAATGTCATGAAGATGGATCCTCAACTCTTTGAAGATTGCCGGCAACAATACAAAGATTAAAAAAACAAATAAAAAATTAAAAAATAAAAAAAAAAGTCAAACCAAACAAGTGGGAGAGCAAAGCCAATATAGGTGGAGGAGACAAGATGAAGTAGTAGACCTGTAATCACTTCATACAAAAAACATATTTTTTTAAATGTTAAAACACATGAAGATGAAGATTAAAACATGGGAAATGTAAAGGGAAACAAAGGGAAACTCACAGTATATTTGCAAAGATTTTTCAAACAAACATTCTTCAACGAAACAAGATGCGACTTTCAAAGATTATATCTGGAATGGCAATAACGTCTGATTTTGTTAGCAAGAATCAAGATTCTAACAAGAAGCAAGAGCAAAATTATGTACTTACGGGCGTATAGCCAGTAGTAGTGCTGAGGCGCTGTCTTTTTATTATTAAAGTTTATCTTATCGGCTGGTCAATCATATGGAGAGATCAAAGAGACTGGGGACCTCTCTGAATTTACGTTTTTGGATTGATACTTATGAATACATATAACCCACGTAACATTATACATAAGACTTGTTTGATGTTCGAGCTCTAGCTTTGGTGGACTAATAGAAGATTATTGAGCGGTCATTTTCCTAAGAGAGAGCCATCTCCTCATCCTCCATCTCCATACTCTTTTTCATGTCCATATCCATCTTCACCATCGTCTTCATATGCTTCTTAATATCCTTGTCAATCTTCTTCAGCTCCATCTTCATCTTCTTTTTCTTCATCTCATCCATCTCCATCTCCATATCCATCTCCATCTTCCTCTTCTTGTGCTCAGCCGTATCCAGTAAAACACCTAAAAATATAAAGTATACACAACGAAACTGATGAGAGCAGGTTCCAATATGAATTAAGAATCTCACAGAAACCAAAGAGCGAATTTGTGTACTTGGGGGCGTATAGCCAGAAGGATTGCAGCGGCGGCGTCTTTGTATTCTTACTTTTTCCGGTCCCCCATGAATAGGTCCAACAAAAAGATTCATTCCTCCCATGTTAGATCCACTTAGTTTAAGTGCCTTAACTTCACATCTTTCTCCTTGAAGATATATGAAAGCTGCACCGCTGCAAAATTAAACAGAGACAATGTCTTTAGTAAGAATTCAAGAATGGGAGAAAACAACAAATATCACAAAAATGGGAGGAAGAAAGAAGGCACAAACCAAGGGAGAACCACAACTCGCGTAACCTCTCCACATGAAGAGAAATGTTCACACAGCGCAATCTGGGTATCAATCTCAGGAAGCGAAGTGTCATATCCGGTAACACGGACCCTAAGATAATAATAACATTGATTGAAGGATCGGAGAGAAATGTTATCAACATGCAAAAGCTAACACATCTGCCAGATAAACAAGAATTAACATCCTAAGAAAATTTGATTTTGAATAAACCTGTGGGTTTCGATTTTCATCAGGACAGCAGCAGACCAAGGATCCCTGCATTCTTTCTGCATGGGTGCAGGCTTAACGATAGCAGTCCATCCTCCCACGTCAGTTCCACTAAGTTTCAATGCCTTTTCTTCAACATCTTCTTCTCCCTCGATCCACAGGAAGGATACACTTGCAAAACGAAAGATACACAAACCAAAAAAAACAGAAGTATTATATTTTTGAGTTTAGCAAAGCACTAAACATGAACGAGAGGAGCTGGGAGGGAATTAGAAGCAGCAAAAATATTAAAAGGTACCTCTTGAGGATGCCCCTTTTACGATCCCTTGGAACATAAACATATCCGACCTTTCCGCATGAAGAGAAGTGTTTGGTCAAGGCGAGCTTGAGAGAATACACACGGAGCCTAGTGTCATATCCCTCTACGGAAATCGTCGTCCTAGGGATAATTTGATTTTGATCGCAGCAGGATTTCCCAATAAAATATATAAATGTGTTAATAAATTTTGATCGCAGCAGGATTTCCCATAGTACTATTTAGTCATAGTTGTCTAAATTTGGTATGGTAAAGAGTTATGTAGTATACATATACATATACAAATTTAATAGTCAAATAAACCAACCAAAGTGATCTTCTCCGACTCCGAAGCAGACGTCTCAGACTCAGTCCCCATCTTCTTCTTCTTCTTATTAGCCTCTTCAAGTAAAAACCCTAATATAAAGAATAAAAAACGAAACTAATGAGAGGTTTTAAGTTGTTAACAAGTTTCGGTATAATTTTGTTTTTATCCAGTTACAGAAAAATACGACATACGACCTATTCGTATGACGATGTGGAATATACATAAACATATATGGAGCCGCTAGCGCCTAGCTAATAAACAAAACGGTATTTTATTTTCCAAGTTTTGTCTCTTTGGTGATCCTTTGCAAGTTGCAACAACTACTTAACGGTTTCGGACAAGTCTTGCAAAAGGGTTTTGTTAGGATGGATGATGATGGATGATGACCGAATATTGAAGAATGGTACGTGTGAATGATAAGGTGATTAATTATGTTGTTCATGATTTGATTATTACCAAAAAAAAAACAAAAACAAAAAAAAGTATATGCTTTGCTTAGGGTGAGTAGTGAAGCTAGCTAGTTGGCAAGTTATGGCTTCTTTTGGCGGCCAAGCAATTCTCTATCTCTCTCTCTCTCTCTCTCTCTTTCACACACACACAATCCTCGACGCTAAGACTTCAAATCAATCCCTCCTAATATATGATTTTAATATTGTAAATTATACTAGTAGTAGCTTCACAATACACTCAAATATATTCTTCTTAATAATCTAATAACACGTTAGCTTAGAGAAATAATCATAGAGACAACTAATGTGTGTATAATTAGAGTTGAATGAGTAAAAAGTTGGATATCATCAATCCAGCTCTAAGAAACTCACCTTTTGCAGAATTTTCAATCGTATTATGTAAAATATGATTATTCTAAAAAATATTTTCCTGAATTTTATAGATTGCTGCCACCGAGTCATTGGTATACTTACAAAGACCTAGACTACTGTTCACACATTATAACAACAATATTTAACAAACTATAAGATAAGGGAGGTTACTTCACCAAATACATATTATTAGCTAATCACAAGATTAATCATGGTTTTTGATCAAATAATTGGGTGACATCTTAGAAACAGGCGCAAACATAGGGAGTGATACTATATTTTTAATTCGTTATTTCAGCTAATATCACTCTATTTTTAAAATATTAAATATAACTAGGATCATGATCATAATTGTGTGTTGTGTAATTGTGGGTTGGCTCAACTGCACATGAACTGCTCTCGACCCAAAAATTCGATTGCCTTTTACTTTCCAATCAATTAACTCAATTATTTTAATCACCAAGTTAAGTTCAGTGTACATAAATCCACAATGATTAGCAGTACTAAGGCACAAATTCATAATTCGACGTATTGTCAAGTTAATTATGTATTTTAATAGCTTATATATATACCATAGTTGGGCTCTCAAATCGTAAAATGTGTTACAGTACGTACGTCAACTTAAGTTTCAAATCGAATTGTGAGTTGTGTGGTAACTGTGTTGCGTGTTAAAACTCCTATTTGATTGCGGGTGACTTTAACTACCAATGAACACATGTGGACTACAAGATTTTTTATTTACAAAGTTATAAGATTTTAGTTAATGATAATGTAGAAACAAATAAATTGAATGTCATATTTAGAATACGCAATCCAATTTGATTTTCTTCTTAATATATTACACTACATTCCAAGTGTCAAAAAATTGATGTTCATTTTTTTATTTATTTTTCTTAAATATGCAGTCAGATTGTGTAGGATGACACTCTTCTCTCTACTACCAAAAAAAATAAAGTCTAAGTTTCCTTCTTGGAAAGAAAAAACAAATCTCCTAAGATTAGTGCTGTCACTGAATCCATATTTTTGTTATCTATAAAAGCTAATGTGAACCTATGTAATTTATGAGTATGCTTATGAGGATTTAATTTAATTAATACTAATCAATTTTTTAATGTGATTCATAAGACAAGCATTAACCAAAAGAAGAGAAAATAATTCAAAGAAAGAAAAAAAACAAGAAGAAGAGGAGAACAACAAGTGGTTCCAGGCTTGCAAACCAAAACTTCCAGAAAGGAATCCTTCACCAAAAGTTATTTTGGGGTTTGCTTCTTTTCTCATCTTTTCTCTCTTTACCCATTCATTATTAATATATATATGCATAGGGATACATACACACAAATGAGTACTGTGTGGTATAAACAAATACAATCACATATTTATAAATATAGATAGATACTAAGACATATAAACCAAACCCACCAAACACTCTTTGATACTTCTCTCTCTCTCTCCCTCTCTTCATAAAATACATATATACCTCGATCTCTTTGTGTTCTTGATATTAATACAGAGAGCCAATCAAATTAAAGATCGAGGATATCATGACAAGTGTTCTTGAGGAGAGTGGAGAGCAAGCTCGTCTTGTTCTTCTCATCAAGGGCAAACGCACCAAACGTCAGCGCTCTGCTTCTCCTCTTATGACTGCAGTATCCAGCGTTTGCAGCGGTGAGCGATCGTCGCTGGTGGAGGCGAGAGAAGAAGAAGCTGCTGGTGAAGTCGAATTCCAAGGAGCTACCGATGAAGACGAAGACATGGCGAACTGTCTGATGCTATTGTCGCAAGGACATAAGGCTAAGAGCAGCGGCGATCATAAATTGGGTTTCTTTAGCAACAAGAAACCGGTGGCTTCTCTAGGGTTAGGTCTAGACGGTGTTTACCAGTGCAAAACGTGCGATAAAAGCTTCCATTCGTTCCAAGCGCTAGGAGGGCACAGGGCTAGTCACAAGAAGCCCAAACTTGGAGCAAGCGTTGTTTTCAAATGCGAAGAGAAGAAGACCGCATCTGTGTCTGCGGTTGAAACGGTGGAAGCTGGAGCTGTAGGAAGCTTTCTTTCTCTACAAGTGACTAGCAGTGACGGTAACAAGAAACCGGAGAAAACACACGAATGTTCGATCTGCAAGGCCGAGTTCTCTTCAGGACAAGCCTTAGGAGGTCACATGAGGAGACATAGAGGCTTAACAGTAAACGCAAACGCAGCTTCAACAATCAAAACAGTGATATCATCATCAAGTCATCATCATGAAGAATCCATACGGCCAAAGACCTTTCTCCAATTAGATCTAAATCTTCCAGCGCCAGAAGATGAACGCTGCTGCGAGAAACCAAAATTCACGTTTGCGTCCAAAGATCAGATTCTTCTCTTCGCGGCAGCGTCCAATTCTTTGATTGATTGTCATCACTAATTAAGTAGTTCTCTGTAATTACTTTTTATGACCTTGATATATTTTAATCATTAACCCTCTTCTTATTATGATTATTTTCGCTCTATATTCATTCCTGTAATTTGACATTGATTCAATTAACTTCAAATTATTTCATTCTTTGAAACTATATATGTATTCATTATTGCTCCATATATATAATTTATAGCACATTTCTAAGAATCATCGATCGAGGTATTATATAAAATGTAATACTTAACTTTGGGAGAATGATTAAAAGGATTCTGATGAGGATGTTCCTTGGAGAACGGAAGAAGCATGTGACGATGACTTTCGCATAAAGTCACTTCGTTTGTTAGCCGCCACTAGCTCCTTTCGATACACTTCACTTCCGTTTGGGGTTGTTCTCTTTTTCAAGATTCTTTTATAGATAGAATAATACATATATCATTTCATTAATTAGATTATATATATAAAAAAGACTACATCTGGAGAGCCCAAAGCTAGGTTGATGTACAGTAGTAGATGTATCGATCCCTAACTTCGACTACTAACTTTGATGATAGAGTCAAGACATTCATGTGATGTAGCAGCTAACGAATCTTCATGATCATGCTATTATATATGTAGTACCAATGGAAACTAACAGTAAACTTTGTTACAAACTCAGTGGTTTTGACTATATATGATATAACATGTTCTATCAATTAAAACTAAGCCTACTTACGCTACGTAACATTTATGGTATAGTGGTATCTCTAAATTTATCATGTTGATGTCTTTATATATAGTCTATGACTCGTCTGTGACTCATCTATGTTTCTCTTTTGTAGATATGAACACGATATTTGTAGAGAAAGTGCAACGTATTACTAACAGAAGGAGTGAATATTCCTAACAGTTAGGTAGAAAATAAAGGACGACGTTTGAAAACGATCGATACAAAAGTGTTGCATGACATTTGTGATTAACGATGTCTTCTACAAATTGTTTCATCTGTTTAAAGTAATAGCACTATACATGTTTAGTAAAATTAATTCAGAAAAAAACGTCGGTGAGACATTTTAAACTAAATGTAGCTCTGTCCTTTTCGCATTTTTTAAGTTTATACAATTACAAACTGTCTAATTAACCACACTTGTAATAAGACAAACATAGAGACCATCTAGTGCTAATTGACGACGGTTTTTAAAGATTACTTGATAAAATTATCTTGTAATAAAACCCTATACGGCGTTTATATATCATTTAACGCAATGAGGCGTGACAAATTCAATGTTGAATTCGTAAGAAGAGTTATAAATGTAATGTATATATAGATAGTGGAGTATTAAAAAGATCAAATAAACAAATTAGATTTCAGAAAATAAAGAATAAAAAGTATGTGGATGAATATAGAATGAACTCTTGACTTTGTTTGGAACCATGCCACATGTAACAGAGGCTCTGGCATGATTGGATACTTTGCTGGATTACGCTAGTGTACGTCGTCTATACAGCGAAGCAACCGTTTTCACCCACTTACTGCTTGACAGCTCACCATAAACTCCATTATCCTTTTCTTCTACTGTAGACCGACCGCACTTGATCATATCAGACCTACCTTTTCCTTTTCCTCCCCCGAACTTTCTTATATGTCATACAATCACCCCAAATTGTTTTACTTTCTCAAAATATGTCCATTATTCAGATTTAGCAAACTTCCTTTTCACTCCTTAGGTATATATATAAATGATTCCGATCATGTTTCTTACTTAACTCGGTTGGTTAGTGACAATAAGTCATTTTTACATTAAATTTAATTCTGATTCCGGTGTAAACCGGTTAAGAACCTCTTAGCCAGAGATATTTACGAAGTTATGGGGCTAAATACAAATATTTAAAATTTCAGGTACAAAGCTATAATTAAACAAAAATAACATCCACCGAAACAATTTTGTAAGCAGAGCCATCAACTTGTTTCTTCAGCGACATTAGAAGCATTCCATTAGCTTTTTTATTTTTGCTGTGTGTCTGCAGAAAAAAATTCAATCTTTCGTCGGAAAATTAAAGCAGAGTTCGTTTTTAGCTTTTGCTGAGAAGCAAAGAGATCAATTAATTAGTATTTTTTTTTTTCTTTTTTTCTTCTAACATCAACTGGTGATGGCGGTTGCGCCGGCAAGAGCTCGTTCAGACTATGATTACCTCATCAAGCTTCTTCTCATCGGCGACAGCGGTAAGCTTCTTTCTCCGTTTCTGTGTTCTCGAATTTGCAATTGAATAATCTCTCAACTGTTTGATTTTTTTTTTTCTTCTGAAATTATTTTTTTGTGTGTCTGCGATCTTAATTAGGGTTTTATGATTTTGATTTGTTTATGCTAGTATTATTATTACTAAGTATAATTGACTCTTTAAGAACTTGTGGAACCCGTTGACAAAATTAGTTCTTTTTTGAGTTGAATTGTTTGTTTGAGCTTTATTTGTATTTGGTGTGTTCAGGTGTGGGGAAGAGTTGCTTGTTACTGCGTTTCTCTGATGATACTTTCACTACAAGTTTCATTACTACCATTGGGTATGTCTTCTTCTTACTTAAAAGATTGCCTTTTTCGTTGTCTAAGTTTGTGTATTTACTACTTTATCTTTTTTTCTTTTACAGGATTGACTTCAAGATAAGAACTGTTGAGCTTGATGGGAAGCGTATCAAATTGCAGATATGGGACACTGCTGGTCAAGAACGTTTTAGAACTATTACTACAGGTAACCAGACGGATTTAGAGTTGTTGTTACCAAGTGAACGGATCTTTAGATTCATAGGTTGATTGATTCTTGAGTTTTGTGTTGATGATAACTCTTGAGTATTTCCATACTTTCATTAAGTAAAAGACAGTCCATTTGTTTCTGCACTTTCCCTAAAGCGTTTTGGTCCACTTTTGTCACTTGCAGCTTATTACAGGGGAGCTATGGGTATATTGCTTGTCTACGATGTAACGGATGAATCTTCTTTCAACAGTATGTCTTGTTACTATTTTATCTTTATATAGTCAGTTTTGCAATGATATAAAGATACGATTGTTTCAACTGAGGAAATGGGAATGTGAGACTTGTGGCAACTGAATACGATTGTTTCAACTTTCAACAGATATTAGGAACTGGATGAAGAACATCGAGCAACATGCCTCAGATAACGTCAACAAAATATTGGTCGGTAACAAAGCTGATATGGATGAAAGCAAAAGGGTAAGTAATCTTCAGTTGCGTACTTACTTTCATGACTTATAGTTTTTACTTTTTAGTATGCTGATGTGTGATCTTCTTTTTCAGGCTGTTCCAACAGCAAAGGGCCAAGCTTTGGCTGATGAGTATGGAATCAAATTCTTTGAGACGGTGAGCTTGAAAAAAAACACAACATGTCTGCTGTTTTTCATTAATATCTTCTTGAGATTACTGATGTGATTGCAATTGTTGCAGAGTGCAAAAACAAACCTCAATGTCGAAAATGTTTTCCTTTCAATCGCGAAAGACATAAAACAAAGGTTGACAGAAACCGATACAAAGGCAGAGGTAAGAACTACAGGAATCTACTCAACTACTCATTCATCATACTCTAATACCTACTCAATGTACTGTTCTTGTTGCTTTGCAGCCACAAGGCATCAAGATCACTAAACAAGATACTGCTTCCTCTTCTTCTACAACTGAGAAGTCAGCTTGCTGTAGTTACGTTTAGGAGTATGATCGCTCTTTTTCGCCTGCACTGGTCTTTACTGTCTTGCCATCTTTTTCATCTCTTACGTCTCAAATCAGAGATAATTCTCATGTTGTTACCTAGAACGAGTAGGAAAATCTCATTGATGGCTGTGATCTTTATGTCTAATTTGTTATCTCCATAATTCCTGTACAATGATCTTCCTGATATGGAAGACTGTGTTGGTAAAAAAACTATGTTAAAGACTTTGAATTTATGAAAAATGAAACTGTTGTAGTGTGTATAACTCTGAATTCACAGTTCAAATCAGGATTTATGGTGTTCACTTTGAATGCTGTTCTCTACTCAAAACCCCATAGCCTGAGCCAAAATAAACTCGGATTTACAAATAAAACATTGGATGGGGTTTTATTCTATTATGATATTATTACAAATCTCATTTCAGAAGCAAAAGAAGAACACAAGTAATCCCACAAATTTACATTGAAGCTACATTATGTTCTACACACAAAAGAGGCAACTGCAGAGAAAAGAATCAGATTCAGTTTTGGGATACACAACAGAACGATTAAGTTTTTATATGCAACATCGACTTGTCTCACTAGCTGCAACAGCCAGCTTGAGGTCTGGTCTGGTGTTCAGGTTTCTGCTTCAAGATGTTTCTTTTCACAGCACTTGATCCTTCTTCCAATAGACTAGGTACATCCATTATCTGTTTCATCACAATCACACGACCATTCATTCTATATATGTTATACATAAAACCCTCTTTCCGAATTGTTGTTTTTAACAGATTAAGGATCTTACCTTCAACGCCAGCTCTTCAAAACACTGCTCCACGTTTTGACGAGTTCTAGCACTACACTCAAGAAACATGCAGTTGAGTTCTTTTGCTAGAGCAATTCCTTCTTCTCTGCTTACTCCTCTCTCAGATTCCTGTAATCATATTTTTCATCAAGAAAATTATCAAACGACCAAACAGTGTTTCGATAACAAGTGTGATTTCGACTGCAACTCACTCTATCGACTTTGTTCCCAACAAGCATCCGAACACATTCTTGGTTAGTGGAGTAAAGCTCAATCTCCTTACCCCACACATCTACTAAATTTGTAAATGTCTCCCTTCTGGTCACATCATAAACTGCATTCACCAAGAAACATTAACTAAACAGTTAACAGACAGAGAGATCTCTTAGTCTCCTCTGATTCTGATTAAATGACTGATGATGGTCATTACCGAGAATAATTCCTTGTGCGCCTCTGTAATAAGAGCTCGTCAGTGTTCTAAACCGCTCCTGTCCAGCTACAACGGGAAAAACCAAGAATATTAGCAGGACCAATACTTTTCTTAAGAGGATAAAACTTCTATAATCTCACTATAGAATCAAATCACCTGTGTCCCATATTGTGAGTTTCAGTCTTTTGCCTCCTACTGTCAATTGTTTGATCTTGAAATCAACACCTGTGAGTAATAATAATTGGGCTGAATCAAACAATATAATACAGACAAAACAGATTTCCTTAAACCAAACCAAGAAAAGACTGCTAGAATAACAGACATAAAAGTATCTAATTGTCTTACTACAAAGTGAATCATCAAGAAAGTAAGATTGTTTCAGTGGCAATTCGATCAAAGATATGCATGATCATTATAAAGATCACTTCAAACAAGAATTAAACAGATGGTCATCAAAGTCAAGCACTTGCATTTTTTGAAAACTACTATTTGATCAACAACTAGAGCATCAAAAGAGATGTGACATAGCTTCATCCTCAATTCTAGCTCTCAAGACATATAAATCTGAGACCTTTTCCCTGCAGTTCAAAGAGAAACATATTTACCAATAGTAGGAGCAAGATCTTCAACGGAGCTGGAAATGAAGCTCACAAGCAAACTGCTTTTACCAACACCAGAGTCACCAATCAACAAGATCTTAAACGACAGATCGTATCCACTTAGCCCAGAAGAAGATCCCATTTTCTAAAACCCAGATTTGCTTAATCTCTTCCCCCTCAACTGTTTTTGTCGATCTGTAATTCTAGAAGAGCAAATGAAATCCTACTTAAACACCACCAACTACTATAAAGAAGCAAACTTTTAGGAAATAAAAATGAATCTATTAAGCTCTGTAATGATGATAATGATAATGATGATGATGCTTCCTCGTTGATAATTACATCTATCTGCACATTGCTTTCTATACTTTATAAGTAGCAATCTAAAGAAGAAAAAAGGGAGAACTTTTTTAATTTTCCTGTGTATGGATGTTAAGATTAAAATAAGAAAAGAAATGTGATGAAGAAATTGGAAGATTATATTCTTTACCGAGAAAGAGAGGAGAAAGAAACAGGTTTGTCTGATTATTATTTTTTTCTTTTTGTTAAAAAGTATATGAGATTTATGGAAGAAGACAAGACACAGCAGACCTGAGATAGTAACGTTTGTTCTTTGCTTTGTCTCCAACACTTTACTTCACTAAAACGTCTCTGTTTGGTTCCAAGTTATTTACTTCCAGCTTTCTTTTGTCGACGAGTCTGTAGCGTTTTGAAAATCGCGTTTGATTTATGGTAGCCAGTCAACAAACCATTGTGATTTAGGTAAAACGTTTTGGTGGAGCAGCAAAACGGTTGTTTTTGGCGGTTTGTAAAAGGTTCAAGTAGACGTTTTACTAAAATATCAGTTTTAATTATTTTTCTCAATTACAATAACTAAAAATTTATAGTCACCCCAATTATTTTGTAAAAGCACTTTTAGTAAGGCATCATTTCAGAAGTACTGTTAAGGTCAACTTTTATCTTTGTTAACCACAAATACTAATTCGTTTTTGAAATTGATTAACGAATTAAAATAGTGATAATGGTTATGGAGTCGGCCATTAATGGATAGTGGGAGCCAAAACATGGCCTTTCGTCTGCTGTCAGCCGAGCCCCCTGCAAAACCCCACGTCTGGCCTGTGCAAAGTTTACACGCGTAGTCAAGGTCTCCGATCGTGACGTCACTTAACGATGCTCCTTTTTTGTCGTCACTCGTCACACACAAAAGGATCCAACACTTCTTTGCTTTGGAAAGCTTATTTGCTGCTAAATTAGTTACATTCACGAAGCTTAACAAAATTCATAGTAACAAAATTGAGATATAAAGTGTCTATATGTTCGGTGTTATTTCAACTTATAGGAGGATAGGACTCTTTTGTCGAAATCGACCCACCAAAGGGCCAGCCAAGTTGAGTAAAGTATAAAGATCATCTAGACATGAGACATCTAACACACCTTAGTCTACCACAACACAGCCATCATCATATGTCAAATCTTTTTTCTTTTTTTTGGTTCAACAAATAATGTCAAACCTTTATACATTTTTTTTTTTTATAATGTCAGACCTTTACGAAAATAAATAAATAAAGTAGTTTGTGGCTAAAAGCCAGTTTTGTGGCGAACTCAAAAAAATGGGCATCAGTGTTTAATGGGCTGTTGTGTATTTGGGCCATAGCATTTTTATTTGGTGGGTCAGATTTCCTTTATTAGATATGTCAACACTGCTATAAATTAATGTTGTTGTCCAGTACATGTAACCAAAATATAGACTTTCTGAAGAAACAATTTACACGAGAGAATTATATTATGGTTAACATATCTGACTATATTAAATTGAAACTTACATTATTTGGTTTAATGGAAATACAAATTCATTGAAATTTACTTTTTTTTTTTTTTTTTTTTTTTTTTTGTCATCAAAGGGCCTACGATTGACTCAAACGAGCCAGATTGAAATTTACTTCTATAATTATTGTTTTAAGTATATAAAACAGAGGTCAAAAAATTTAAGCGAATGTTCAAAGTTTTGGTTTAAGTAACGGAGAAATTAGAAAGCGTCGTCGTAGCTGGATTTGTACCGGCTCGGCTCTGCTCTGTCACCACCAAATCAAACCGAGTCGTAACTTCGTCGTCTCTTTTTCTTCTCTTCAACTTCCATTATCGAAGGCGACGAGTAAAGATATTTTCCAGTGTTTTGGATTTTGCCATGGCTGTAGATAGCAGAGTCGATCTGCTCAGCGAGAGAGCTGTGTTGATGAGAGAATCTCTTCAGAAGAGTCAAACCATCACCGACAATGTTGTTTCTATCCTCGGCTCTTTCGATAGTCGTCTCTCTGCTCTTGAAACTGCCATGCGTCCTACTCAGGTATGTGTGGAGAGCTCCATCTTATTTGATTGTTCAGATCTGGAAACTAGTTATCTCTATGGAGTTTTGTTGACTTGATCGGATTTTGGTTTGACTCTGTTGTTTTGAAATCTCAGATTAGAACGCATGCTATAAGGAAAGCTCATGAGAATATTGATAGGACTCTTAAGGCTGCTGAGGTTATTTTGTCTCAATTCGATCTCCTCCGTCAGGTTTGTTTTAGAAATCTTGATTCCCTCCATTTATGTGAGATTTCATTCATTCATTGTATTCAGATCGATCGGTATAAATAGATATTTCTCGAGCAGAGGTTGCATCGTTATGTTATTTCACCAATTTTGTAGTCTCACTCCCACCACTTCTGTTAGCATATGTTAGATTTACTATTTTTAGCCATCCTTGGCTCAGTTCTTGTCATTGCTGGGCAAGGATATGACTCGAAACGATACCTTTCATTCTACCTCACTCTTTTCAGCTACCCATTTGGTGGGATTACTAGTCTTATATCTTCTATATTTAGCGAGTATAACTTCAAAGTGAATTAGGATGCTGATCTTTTGCCGAGGAATGCATTTTTTGTCTGTTTCTTTGGTTGTAATTTCTAGTTTGCTGTTTCTGAGTTACTTCTTTTTGTAACAAAAGCCCAATCACTAATTATGCTCTCAATTCATTTCTAGGCAGAGACTAAAGTACTTAAGGGGCCACATGAGGACCTGGAGAGTTATCTGGATGCAATAGCTCAACTCAGAAAAATTATTCGTTATTTCATGAGCAACAAAAGCTTTAAGAGTAGCGATGGAGTCCTCAACCATGCAAATAGCTTGCTTGCTAAAGCACAGTCAAAGCTGGAGGAGGAGTTTAAACAGTTGCTAGCTTCTTACAGGTTCGTGCTTCTGTGTCTAATAAGAGTTTCTGAACACATCCTCAGGAAAATTTATGCTATTGTGCATGTTATAACCATGAATCCTACCCTTTAACTACATGGAACATAACTAACTGTCGATTTTAGCTACTTTTTCAAGCTATATATTTTAGTAACTAGTTTTCGCTTCTATGAGGGTCTTACTTCTTTACCTCCCTTGCAAATAACCATGAACAGTTTTAGCATGGGCAAACGGCAATATCTTAGAATGGCATTTTTTCTGAATTTATTGAAGTTGTCACTCGGCGAATATTTTTTTTATTGAAACAAGTGCCCTATGGTATGAGTGTTCCAGACAACTGGTTTTAAATGGAAGAATGGTGAAGCCATCTCTTATTAGGCTAATCATAACCTTTTCCCGTCTAAATTAAGACTCCTTTTCAAATCATTTTGTCCTCATTATCCTATTCGATTTGTCTTTGTTATAATCAGTAAAGCTGTGGAGCCTGATCGCCTTTTTGATGGCCTTCCCAACTCACTGAGACCATCCTCAGACGGCGATGGAGGTGGAAAACCACACGGAGGACATCACAACGATGAATCAGAAACTGCTTCTTATACACTTCCAATCCTCATTCCATCAAGGGTTTTGCCACTTTTGCATGATTTGGCACAGCAAATGGTTCAGGCTGGTCACCAACAACAGTTGAAACAAATTTATAGGTGAACTTTTTGATTCTTGGTCATTCATCCTGTATGTTTTTTCTCAAAACATGCTCTTAGATTAAATTTTAACTCATAATTCTAACATGAGTTCTGTTTCTCTGTCAAAGTATATTTGCTTTAAACATATATGAGTAGTACAATTATTTTACCTATAATACTCACCATGGTTTCTGCTAGTTGTGAGTTTATATTTGACTATTCCTGTGCTGTTTCACTATTTAAGCTAGAGAGAAATGTTTTTAATATTATGGATATTCGTGGGTTTTCTGCTTGGTTTGATCAGAATCAAACTGTTTGATGTGCACATTGCATTTCGCTGTTTTTGCTTACCTAATCTGAAAAAATAAATTGCTCGATGCAATTTTGGTGGTCTCATACAGGTAATGCATTGGAACAGTTTAGTCTTTTTTCTTCCATTTGAACTATGTGATACTGCAGCTACTACTATTGCCATATTTAAGCAGTGAATTGTGTAATACTACTATTCTCAAATTTGCGGTGAATTGCATAATCTAGTGGCATTTCCCAATACATATATAAGATGCATTTGTATATTTTGAGTTTGTTTTTAATCTCCTTCGGTTTAATCTTTTGTGTTTTGTTCAGCGAAACACGTTCTTTTGTCTTGGATGAAAGCCTAAAGAAATTGGGCGTTGAAAAACTTAGTAAAGAGGATGTTCAGAGGATGCAGTGGGAAGTATTGGAGGCCAAAATTGGAAATTGGATCCATTTCATGCGCATTGCTGTAAGAATGCTAGTTAAGGTTTGATATATATTTAATATGTTATGTTGACCCTTAACTCGAGATAATTTTTTCATCAGGTTAAATTACTCTTCGCTGGAGAAAGGCAAGTATGTGACCAGATATTTCGAGGCTTCGATTCTCTTAGCGATCAGTGTTTTGCAGAAGTTACAGTGAGCAGTGTCTCAATGCTACTTAGCTTTGGGGATGCTATAGCTAGGAGCAAGAGATCTCCAGAAAAGTTGTTTGTGCTCTTAGACATGTATGAGATCATGCGGGAGCTTCATACAGAGGTAATATTTTCTCTTTCTTCCAAAGCGAAGTTTCTGTGAATTAGATGGGTTTTAATAATTGATTACATGTATTTTCCTGCTAACATCCCCACCATAATAAACAGCATGGCACACACAGAAAAAACTTTGTGATACAAATGTGGTTGAAGTTTGCTAGCTAGGACTAGATAAAGTGTGAATTAATTGATGACCAGTTAGTTTTTGTGCTATGTTGTGTGGATAGCATTAGCTGATACAACAATCTCCTGAAATTTGTGTCCATGGACAGATTGAGACAATTTTCAAAGGTAAAGCATGCCTTGAAATTAGAGATTCTGCTACGGGCTTGACAAAGAGGTTAGCGCAGACTGCTCAGGAAACATTTGGTGATTTCGAAGAAGCTGTTGAGAAAGATGCTACAAAGACTGCTGTTCTAGATGGAACTGTCCACCCACTAACAAGCTATGTCATCAATTATGTGAAGTTCTTATTTGAGTAAGTTCCGCATATGTAGATTTGATTAGGACAAGCCCAGTTAATTTCTTTGAATCTCTTTGCGTCCTGCTATATGCATATTGTCTCTTTCCACGCTTTAACTGATGATCTTTGGTGTCAGCTACCAAACAACATTGAAGCAACTTTTCTTGGAATTTGGAAATGGAGATGACTCAAATTCGCAGCTAGCATCCGTAACAATGAGGATAATGCAGGCACTTCAAAACAACTTGGACGGAAAATCAAAACAGTACAAAGATCCTGCACTGACACACTTGTTCCTGATGAACAACATTCATTACATGGTCAGATCTGTGCGAAGGTATGTTTAGTTTTACATTTTGAAAGACTGATCTGGACTTAATTAAAAAGGAAACCGACTCTCGATTGATGTAGTTGGCTTTATTTGTATCATAACTTTTCAGGTCAGAAGCCAAGGATTTGTTAGGCGATGATTGGGTTCAAAGACATAGGCGTATCGTCCAGCAACATGCAAATCAATACAAAAGGATTGCGTGGACAAAGGTACTTAGTATTTGTCAAACTCCTATAAGTAGATCCTGTTATATTAAAATATTTTTTATATTGTTATCAAGAAACTGTTATATATATCATGTAGATATTACAATCCTCATCGGCGCAAGGTTTAACATCATCTGGGGGAGGAAGTTTAGAGGGAGGAAACAGCAGTGGAGTTTCAAGAGGATTATTAAAAGAGAGGCAAGGCTTACACAGCTAAAAATACAGTAATTGTGAAATGTTTATATATCTGGTAATGATGAATGATTTAACTTTTAAAAAATGGAACAGGTTCAAGATGTTTAATATGCAGTTTGATGAGTTGCACCAGAGACAATCTCAATGGACAGTTCCAGACACGGAGTTAAGAGAGTCATTAAGACTTGCTGTGGCTGAAGTATTATTGCCTGCTTACAGATCCTTCCTCAAACGTTTTGGGTAAAAATTCTCCTTTTTCTCTCTCTCTTTTATCTACAAAAGCATCTTTGAACATATTTGATCGAAATGTAGAGAACCCCTAACTAGATTTAAATGGATGATCGGTGTAGGCCTTTGGTTGAGAGTGGGAAGAATCCTAATAAATACATAAAGTATACAGCTGAAGATCTTGAAAGACTGTTGGGTGAGTTGTTTGAAGGAAAGTCTACGAGTGAACCACGCCGGTAAAAAAAAAACAAACAACAACAAAAAGATTATGAAAAACTTATCAGTGTAAGGTAAATTTCTACCAAATCTTACCTTTCAATAATTAGGTTTGTTGCCATTTGTATATGGAGTGTTCAATTTTCGTTTTTGTATTCTTACTATTCTTTGGTCATGGAATGTGAAAATGTTCTTTTCAGTAACTCATACGTTTGTAAATTACTTGGAGACGATTTATTTCATTTTGTTTACTTTTTTTAAAAGAAAAGACGCAGTGAAGTAGCTAACTAATAATAATAACAATAATAGAAAGTAGCCAACTAATTAGTAATAATTAAGCTAAACAGTTCTATTATTATTAGTAAGCTAGGCATGGGGACAACAAATTTTCATTCGGACCAGTTCCGTTATTTTCTTTCTTTGTGGGAATTTAGGCGATTAAACCAGGTTGTCTAATGGTTTCTAATCGCAATCTTGTGTTGATATTGGCACAATCAGTCTAATTTAATCAACTTAACAACTAATTAATTAATCAGCTCCACCACACTCCACACCTTATAAATTACCTAACTTTCATATTCAATTAATCGGTCAAGAACATAAACAAATCACCTGATTCCTTTTCGTTGATATGAACTTATGATGTTGCAGATTGCAGAGTAGCCGTGATCAATTAAACATTTAATTATATATGTGATTGGTTATATATATAATTCTTTTCCTGTTAAGCCCTAAAAAGAACTTAGAAAAGAAAAAAATACAAAAAGTTGGCGGTAAACAGTGATAAGGCGATAAGCAAGTAGTTCAAGAAAATTTTGTTTGGATCATCAATCATACCAATAAATAATCTAATAATAGTACAAGAAGTAATGCAAAACAACCCCCAAGCCAACCATAAGAAACCGACCAAAACCTCGTCATTGAACCGGGACAAGACAAAATAGAGCTCTACCGACGCACATATTACTTAAATCGCAAAAAAAGTGAGGAAAGAAATGAAACTTATTAGTAAAGTAAAAAAGGAGAGTGATGAGATGGTTTCAAACACACATGTTTGGTAATGGCATATTCCTTTTGGAAGATCCAAATTCTCCCAACATCTTTACATGGACTTCCCCATTTCCATCATCTCCTCCCACCTTTTTTCCCAAAGTAATATTAAAGTTTATTATTTGATTTCTTTCAATGTCATCTTTACACCAATGAGAAATCTTACTTTTATTCCCCTTTACACCAATACTATACCTATTTTTCTTTTATTCTTTTTATTTATAGTCATTTACAATAACTCACAGAACCCAATTCTTTCAATATATTGTATGTAGTTTATACATACAAGTATATTGAAACATAGTTTTTATATTATATATACAATAAATAATATGCAAAATACATGTTATATTTGTATTCACTTTTGGGTACAGTTTAGAAAAGCACAAAATAATCTATCATCAACTGACACGGGATACAGTGGTTACACTGAGTTGATTAATTATTATACGGAAAAAGTATTTTTAATTAAAGGAAAAGTGGAAAGAACACTATAGCTTATGCATTGAGTGTTTTCAACCTCTCGTTTAATTTGTCTCCATGACCAAAGACAAAGGAGAGAAGCCATAAAAACCCTAACAACATCTATTGTTGAAACTCCCTTTGGCACAACACCACACACAAAAAGAGATGGCCATCCCCTAAAGAAAAGTGAAGCTGAAGAACCCTCAAATGATCAATCAGAAGATCTCACCAACAAAGGGTTTTGAGAGGTTCAAGTTTCTCTTTAGGGGATGGCACCAAAACACAAAGAGTACTCACAAAAGGTAAGAAGAAGGTGTCTCTTGGAGATTATGACCATAAAATTGTGTTTAATTATTTTTGTGGGTGTTGTCTGAATGATCCTCGTCACTATATTATCATTATCAACATGGTGATGGTGATGAGGAGGATTGTGTGTGAATGAATGGAGCGATGAAGATTGCATGAAGGTTGATGAAGACAAGCTTGATGTGTCTTTTGTTATCCCTCGTTTGGGCAACTTCGATCCTTTGGCAAGCTTCGGTTCCCCTCGGAATCAGCAGATTATTATCTTACTAGCTACCTCTCTTTTTGTCTATGTTCTTTGTTTCCGGTTTAATTTTGGTTTATTGTCTTTTCATGTTTCTGTTGAATGTGTGTGTGTGTGTGTGTTGGTATCCCGTGTGATTCACCGTTCAGGTATGTTCCTATCTGTGTGTGAGGAATAAAAGAATATTCGGTTTTTTATATCTAAGACCAAACACCACTTCTATCTTTCTTTAACAGTGTCTTCAAACAATTTTTTTCTTTTTCTGTATACCTTTAGCAAAAAATACTTTTAAAGGTGGCCCATTCTTAGCCCATTAACAGTCCAATTCTAGCCAATTAAAATCGGGTAAATTAAAAAATACATTATACGGAGCCAAGAGAGCCCTAATCATATTAAAACGTAGGCATATTAGAAAAAGGGGTAAGATTAAAAGAGAACGTAGAGGTATCTAATTATGCTTTTGCGGAAATACATAATTATCGTTTCTACGTAACAATCCTATAATAATAAACTTAAAAATAAAACAAAAAAGACTAGATAACACTAATTAAAAATAACTGTTGTATTATCGTGAATAATAACAAAATAAAATTTTAAAGAACAAAAAAGGTTTAGGCCAAGTGAATCCAGCTTGGTTGCTTCTTCAACTTCGTCTTCTCCTTTTTCCTCTCATCTTTGAGATCAGACATGGTCATCACGAGTTGATTGACCTCTAGTTTGAGTTCCTTAATCCGTTCTTCAGAAGCCTTCTTCTCTGAGGAAACGTTGTCGAGCTTAGAATGCAACCAGTCCAGCTTAAAACCGGCTTGTGTCAGATCATACAAATCCTTGGAAGCTTTGCTCAGTTCAGCTTCGGTGAGATAACAGAGAGGCGTGTGGTAAAGAACCCCGATGGTGTGGCAGAGAAGGTTCATGTAATTATTCCTGAGATTTTGGTTTTGCACTTTAACATGATCTGTTGTTTCTGGATATGTCTGAAAAATCCACTTTGCTAACGTCATGTGAGAAGCATCAATCACGAAACCATTGACTCTGATCTTTCTTCGTCTATGCAACTGAAACAGCTGGTTCCCCATGATGACTTAGCTTTTGGAATTCTCAGAGCAAAATTAGTTTTCTTTTGGTTTATTTTCTCTTCATGAATGAAAGTTTTTTTCAGAACTCCATCTTTATATATAGAGGCAGCAAAAGAAGCCTAAGACTTTATAATTTCTATATCAAATCGGACTCGAGTTTGTTAATCCTTTTTAGATATTATTTTGGTTTTGGGTTTACTTGAAAACAAGATAAAAAATCATGTATTTATATATATTATTTTAATCTTTAAAAAGAATTTGAATTAGGAATTAGCTAGTGAAAAAAATAAAGGATAAATAAATTAGGTTTAGTTGGCAATACAAAATAATCGTGTATCACAGAAAATTAAAAGAAAATGGTCAGATCAGGCAAATCCATCAAACAAATTAGACGAAGATGGTCTAGTCTTATAGACCTAATTAAACTACTACCGTTGGGTGAATTCCAAACCGGAAGTACATAGTATATATATAGACAAAAACTGAAAATACTACAAAACCATGTTTGGCTGATAAAAAAAAGCGCTGAAATTAAATAAAAATTAAAGTAGAGGTATTCATGTCTTGCTGCAGAAGAAACCCTAGGCAAAATAAGCCCTAACGAACTATGGATTCTTCAACTTGGCCTTCTCCTTTTCTAACCCAGTTTTGACATCAGACATCATAAGCTCAAGTTTCTTGACTTGTTTTTCAAGTTCCCCGATCCGAGCTTCAGAGGCACGACGGTTCTTCCTGTCCAAGCAAACCATCCCAAGCTTCAACCTTAACCATTGCAGATTAAAACCCGACTTGAGTCAGATCAGACAAAATCTCGGAATCCTTGCTTATTTCCGACTTGGAGAGATCATGTGGAGACTTGTAGTAAAGTGTCTGAATGACGCCAAAGAGAAGGTTCATGTACGTTGTTCTTAGTTTTTGGTTTTGCAGTTTAACTTTCACTGCAGTTTCTGGGTGGTGCTGAAAAATCCAATTCGTTAGCTTCACCTGTGAAGGATCAACAATGAAGTCAGTGACTATAATTTTACTTTGTGTCTCCATTTGGTTCCCCATTTGTATCCTTCGATTCGATACTGGTATGCGCCTTCAAGAAAAGACCACAAAAAAAAAGTATAGAACAAATTTTATTTGATTCTTTGCATGATGATGGCTATTGCTTATAACTCCTTTTAATAGAGGAGCAAATCCGAATGAGAACTTTGCAATTTCTAGATAAATTCGAATCTTTTTTTTTTTTTGAAACACCAATAAATTTGAATCTAATTAGTTAATTTTCGTTTTGATTTCTTGAAACAAGAAAGCAATAAACAAGAATCATATCTAATCAGTGGTATTTTAGATTTTCTTTTTCTTTTCTTTTTTTTTTGAGCCAGAAATTACGGGATTACAACAAGAATATTTTAGTTTTGATTGGCAAATACTCTATGGTAGAATCGTGGAAATGAAATGGATGATTTGGTTTTGGCACTAAACCCCAATATATGCACTGATTTGGCAAAAAAAAAAAAAAAAAAAAAATTCAGTTGAACCAAACTATAGTGGGGAAAAAAATTAACTTCCGCTATCGATGTGGAAGTGATCATGGATTCATGAGAAGAACCTAGATGGTAAAAGTCGCTAATTCATTTCTTCAAGATTTGATGTGTTAAAGACATGAGAAAATAGTTTATAAGAGTATGTATACAAGATGGGACTTGTAGGCTAATTATTTCGCATCTTGAAGATTTGGATGATCCAATGTTTTCACGTATCGCTACAGTCGGCAAGTCTTGTAAGCTGTAAATTTGTAATTATGAAATAAATCACATTGGGTTTCATTTAATGGAGTTGGACAGTTGCTTACGGGCTGACTATATATCAAGCCCATTCACTGTCAAAGCCCGTTCAATGTAAATTTTTTTATTATAAATCACTTGAGAAATCAATTGAATGCCAAGATTTTTACAATAGCGGCTGTGAAGAAGGCAACGAGCTCTGTTTCTTTCTCAGACGAGACATGATGATCCAATACACAAATCCTGCGATGATGAAACTGAAAAACAAAGCGTTGTCATATACAACGACGAAACCATTCGAGATCTTCGACAAAGCTCCGATCTTGTGCAGAAATCCAGGCACGACTGGGATTATTCCGGCGACCAAAGCCACGATGGCTGCGACATTATATCCCTTGGAAAAGTAATATTCCCCGGAGGGGCTAAGAGAGTACAAATCTCCAATGTTCAGTTTCATCTTCTTGATCAGGTAATAATCGACGAGGAGTATGCCGCCAATTGGACCAAGAAGGGCTGAGTATCCGATGAGCCATGTGTACACAAAGCTCTCACTAGATTTGAGCAATCTCCATGGCTGACACACGATTCCAAGAACTGCGGTCAAGAAGGCTCCTCTCCCGAATGTGAAAAACTTAGGGCTTAGATTCACAAGGGCATTTGCTGGCGCGACCACGTTTGCAGCTATGTTTGTAGTGAGTGTGGCTAGGGAGATTCCGAGGATAGCGAGCAGAGTTGTGGCGATGCCCCCTATTTGACCGAGAAGCTCGATTGGATTGGAGATGACTCTTCCAAAGATGATGCTTGTGGAGGAAGTAACTGCTACGCCAACGAACGTGAACAAACCCATGAAAACGGGAAGACCAGCTTGACCAATGATCTGATCGGTCTGGGATTTGGCGAACCGGGAGAAATCGGGGATGTTTAAAGCCAGAGTTGCCCAGAAACTTATGTTTGCGGTTAGCGACGGGAAAAAGAGAGTCCAAAACTGAGCAGAGGTCAGCTTGGATGACAAGGAAAGCATGTGACCAAATCCCCCGGCTTTGATATATGACCAGACGAGGAGACAGGACGTGAGAGTGATCAAAATTGGAGCTGAGTACTTTTCGAGCTTTCTGATTCCGTCCATTCCTCTCCAAACAATACAAAGCTGAGCCAACCAGAAGACAATGAAACAAGAGAACTCAAGCGGAGAAGTGCCAAGCCAAGGTAGTGTATGAGATAAAGCAGAGTTTTTAATGTGACCCGGTAAAAGCAAGAAGATAGCTTCTCCTCCTATCCATGTCTCGATACCGTACCATCCACAACCTACTAATGCTCTGAGTAGAGTCGGGATGTGTGCTCCACGGATGCCAAACGATGATCTAGCAAGGACAGGGAAGGAGATTCCGTACATAGTGCCAGGCTGAGCCGTGAGGACGAGCGGCACGAGTAGTATTAGGTTGGCAGCAACCACTGTTGCTATCCCTTGCCACCACGCCATGCCAAGGTCAACTAGGCTCCCAGCGAGGTAATAAGTAGGCACACCAACTACGAGACCGATCCATAAACTTGACATGTCCAACCATGAAAACGTTCTCTGGCTTGGTGTCGTCGGTTTCAAGTCGTCATTCGTGAGGGATGGGTCGAACTGGGATTCGTCGTACCCCAAGTCATCGAATTCTGAGCCAGTCATCGCCGAGAACCTTGGGCGGATGAGACCGGATCGGCTGAAACCCAATTTGTCACCACGCCTGTGACTTTTATGTTGCGAATCAAACTTAGACGCAGAAGAAGTGTTGTGGCTTGAAGCTGTTGTGAAGGAGACATGCTGATCAAGTTTAGCTTTTGTCTGGGATCTTAAGGAAGTAAAAGAATGCTGATTGTGTTTGTGGGGATGAAGATTGAGATGGAGACCAAGGCTTAAGCAATTGGAGACCATCGTGTCTTCTCTCTCACACACAAGAGAGAGAATTGTGAGATGGATATTGTGCGTTGGTGTTGTGTTTAAGTCCTTTGAGAAACATGTGGTTGGGAGATGAACCATGTGTTTTGTGGAAGTTTCGTCGCTCTCACATCTCATATTTTATTTTTTCCATATTTATTTTCTTCCTTTAATATATCGAAACTAAAAAAGATTCTATTTCCCTATTATATTTTTTATTTAAGCTAAATAGAATCTCATTTTCATGCTACTCAATTCGTTGACTTTTATTAACCTACTCATTGAGTCGAAAATAACTCAACTAAAGAACGTGATTTGATCCCTAAAGACGTACTGTATTTATTATATCGTAGCCATAATTTTCTTTCTTAAGTGTATTTGATTGATACAGCATACATGACATAGTCCAAAAGCAACTCGAACACTTTTTTCTTACTCTTTTATTTGACCCAAGAACAAAAGAGCCACATTGACTCGTATACTACACAGTACACACACAAGAACAGAGTAGGTCATAGAAGTGTGACCAACCTTTTGGCCTCTGGTGAAGATGGTTATTCTTTCAAGCCATCAATCTCTTTTTCCCACTTCAATCCAAACATTTGACGGCCAAAAGGAACGATCAGGTTGTACCTAAAAACCTGCCCAGAAACAAGAGACCACATAAGCAAAACCATTATACATCGCAAATAGAATCTTGATTCTTAGTTGACTACTTACCATGTTGTTGATTTGTTTGAGTTCTTTTTTCAGTAAATCTGATCTCTCTTCCCAACCCGATTGGTCTTCCTTGAGTTTCATTGTCCATGCTTTCTTCAGTGAAACTCTCCATTCTTTTGCTTTGTTTCTTATCTCTTTGTTGAGTTCCACCCATTCGGGAGCAAACCCATTCTTGTTAAGAATCCTATACAATGTATCCTCAGCTGGGTCTGCGTGAGGATTTGTGTGGAGGTTCAAGGGTTTGCCTTTACCGGGTAAATTCTCAAAGTGGCCTTCTTCCATTGAATGCCATATCCTTTGCTCAACCACGTTGACTATGTCAGTCTCTGACCTGCAACATCATCCTATGTTAGCATCCGTTCAAGCATGTCAACTCAATAACATATTTCACAAGAATAAGAATCTCATTTGGAAGATTAACCACAATACAAGAACAAAAACAACAAATTTTACGCTTTCTCTGACCAAAAAAAAAAATGTCATAGCAATATAGCATCCAACCATAAATAGCAAAGCTACTGCGCGATCGTGTCAACATCCAAATAACAAAAGACTCAGCAACATACTCCGATGCATCGCATATAAGCCAGTTGTTCTACCTATTGATACATCACCAACGCTACTACTACTTATTAAATAAAAGGTTGATGACAGTCCTAAAGACTGGGCCTCTTTTAGATTGAAGAGCCTCTCTCACAGCTTTCTCATCAGGCACAAAACCCTTTCCCTTCATTTCTTGCAACAACTGTCTAGCTGAATCCTCTTTTTCCTCTTTTACAAAAGCTTCGAACACTGGAGTGTAAGTGGCAGCGTTGGGGCTAATGCCAATTCCCATCATTTCCAACAAGTACTTCTTCGCGTCCTTAAGTGTTCTGCCATCCGCTGCGAGCCCTTTAATCAATACTGTATATGTATAGGCATTAGGCAAAACGCCACAGGAAAGCATACGCATGAAAACCTTGAGAGCCTCCTTGGCCTGGCCTGCATTAGCATAGGCCTCCACGATAGCAGTATGAGCCACCACCTCTGGCATTTGATTTTTATCTTTGATCTGAGAGAAGAGCTCGAGCGCCTCATGTGTTCTCCCGTCTTTAGACAACGCATCAAACATCTTCACAGCTTCATTGGTAAAACCCTCTGTTCTCATCTTGTGGAATATTGCTTGGAGATTCTTAGCATCTTCTGGTTCCTCAATCGCCGGTTTCTTGCTGAATGGGTCATAAGGAGGTGGAAGCTCCGGCTTGCCAGAATCTTCAATTACCGGAGTTTCCTCATCTGAATCATCATCAGACAGAGAGAAATTGACTTTGGTGTTAACTCGCTTAGTCTCTGAGCTGAATTGCCTCACAAAAACTCCACCGCAAAACCAAGGAAACAGTGAATTTGAATTGCGCTTGGACCTTGAAATTGAAACGTGAAGAAGAAAATGCTAAATCAAGGTAAGAGAAGTATACTGATATCTGAATTCAACATTCTGTAGTTTTGATTGATTTCGCAACGAAACCTATGAACCCTAAGTATGTTAAAAATTCGATTCCAAAGTCCACAGAAATATGAAAAAGAGAAGTATAGAAATCGGATAGAGACTATACCTTACAAAATCGCGCCTGCCACGTAGCTCCGGCGGAAGTTTCCGGTCATGGACTGCGTCAATCACGGAAGAGAAACGGTCAGTGACAGTACTCTTCTTCTCTCTCCTCTTCGATCCCGCCGTCAAATCCTCGGAAGACGACCACCAAGAGGACGAGGACGAATAGCAGGCCAAAACTCTACCGAACTTAGAAAACTCGCCGTCGTTAACCGCAAATGAAGTGATATCTGACGCCGAGCTGCAAATCCCGAGGGAGAAATACAACCGTCGTGACAAGGATGACGCAGCCAATGACCTCGCGAGACGAACCGCCATGGCCGGGCCTCAGGGAGAGTCGGAATGTTCTGGACCTGTGCCTAATTGCCTTATGTAACCCGCCCGGTAGAGTGATTTAGAACGCGCCGTTTACACATCTACACATCTTGCCGTTTCCTTTCAGATTCCAGCAGTATGTGCCGTTTTATTAAGCTGCGGCCCTATATAAAATTGGTCCAGTTATTAAGGCCCAAGGCCCCAAGGTGTCGAAGTCTATGATATCAAGTCAAGTTACTTAAAAGAAACGGCTAAATCCTATGTGTCACATACCGCAACTGTAAAATCATAACGGCTAAATCGCTGGTACTGTTAAACTCTTTTTGGTGTTTCTCTATCTTTATGGTCGTGTCGGTGTTCGACGCTTTTCAAACCCTAGTAAATGGTATTGATCCTCCCTTCTTCTATTTTTGCTTTTGAATAGAAAACTTTCTTTGTTACTTTTACATAATAGTTGTTGTTGAAGTTTCGTAACCACAAAGAAGTACAATTTAATTTTTACAGCTTTGAATATGTAACGTGATTTATTGACATGCGTAGACATTATATACTTTTGAATGAGAAAAGTTTGGTTGTTTGCCACCACTCATGAGATTACTGTCAAAAAATTATTAATTTTATGAAAAAGGTGTATCAGACCAAAAAATATATAAGGTGTCTAGTAAAAAACTCAAAATTCATGTTAATTTCTTTACATATCTTTGATCATTGTGACAGCATAACTTGTCCATCACATCATCAGTTTAGAAGTTGTACCAACAACAGTTAGAAACTGTATTATAAGACATGATGCATGCTATATCAGAAGTTCATGTTTTAACATAATCATGTTTTTTGTCCGTATATCTCTATAATATTTCATGATTTGAGATATATAATGAGAAGATAATGGTGAAGATGAATAGGAATAATTGTATTATTGTAGCAAGTTGTATAAATTATATATATAAGAAAAGAAAAATGTTGTCTTATTTACTCAGTCGTTCGTTGTGCTGTCCAAGACGAAACGCTGTTTTTGTTTGTTTGTTTGTAATGCTAAATAGATATTCTAACAAGGACAAAAACGAGTTAATTTTTAATAAAATATGAAACTTGAGATCTGATCATCGTTGACGCCAAAAAGGAGAATATATTCGGACATTTTTTCTCCCCTACCCCAAAACAATTCGCATATATAACTTAGTAACACACTAGTAGTGCTCTAATAAAACGTGTCTCAGTTTCTGCTGTAATTTCCTCGACTTCGATTTTGGTGCTTCGATCATTCATCCTTCAAGCTCTTACGTGTATGCCAGGGTGAGGTTTTGTTTTCAGCACTTTCTAGATTGAGCTATTCTTTAAACCTTAAAGCAAGTAAGAGCAACTATTGTTCATATTCTTTATATGTAAGGATGCTTTCTTGGGAGTTTAAACTCATTCTTTTGATCTTTGAAAATTTGTTAAAAAATTAGAGAGGTTCACTTGAAATCAATCTATGTCTCCGATTTTTTCCTCAACATCGTCTTCACTCTGCCTTTTTATGCAATATTTTTGGCATATGACAGAAATTAATATGAATATTTTTTTTAATATATGTAAATAAATCAATTTCTATATATGTAGAGTTATTTCCCTTTAATCCCCTTTTTCTATCCAAATTTATTTGTTTTAATCGTTATCTAATCGTATCCATCGCTTTACTAGTTGCACCCTTTTGAACTGAAGACCTAGAGAAGCCAGGGGGCATGTAATGAACACTGAATTCGCTTTGAAAGCTCGAGGAGAAAAATCGAATTAGTCAGCAGAGATGGAGGAGGAGACGGAAACTAGGGTTTTTCTATCAAACGAACAACATCAAGAAGAAGAACCATCGTTACCACGTTCCATGGTGATCTCTCTCTATCTCGGCTATTTTCTTGCTCGATGGGGTGCAAGGTCTGATCAAATCATCAAATATATCTTGGTAGATTAATACGTAACGTGATTACCTAAGATTGTTTAATATGAATTTGCAGAACTTGGGAATTCTCTGTTGCTCTGTATATGATTTACCTATGGCCAAACTCTCTGTTTCTCACTGCCATGTACGGTGCTGTTGAATCCGGTTCCACCGCCATTTTCGGTCCCATTGTAGGTCAAATGATTGATGGAATGAGCTATGTTAAAGTTCTTAGACTCTGGCTGGTTACTCAAAACCTCTCCTTCATTGTTGCTGGTGGTGCAGTCGTTGCTTTGCTTGTAGTTCCTGATCTTAAGTCTCAGAATTTCCCGGTTTTCGCAACATTGGTCGTGTTGACGAATCTTTCTGGCGCCATTGGGGTACTCTCTACTCTTGCAGGCACCATTCTAATCGAACGAGACTGGTAAGTTTGAGTTTTTTAATACATTCACTTCATAATGGCATTGTAACTTCACTTTTTGATATGAAGGTATGTTGTCTTTTTGTTACAGGGTTGTGGTTATGTCGGAAAGTCATTCGCCTGCAGTTTTAACAAGAATGAATTCGGTTATTAGGGGAATTGACTTGAGCTCGAAGCTACTGTCTCCGGTTGTTACTGGTTTGATCATTAGCTTTGTATCTCTTAGAGCATCAGCGATCACATTCGCAGGTTGGGCAACCATAACAGTGTGGATTGAGTATTGGCTCTTTATCTCTGTGTATAACGGTGTTCCTGCCATAGTACAAAGCAACGAGAGAAGGAGTTTAAGGCTGTCTCAATCGCTAGCGGAAGAGACGGATATTGCATCTAGTTATGATGTTCCTCTTTTACAGGGAACAACCGAAGATGAGTCTTATGGGAACACGCAACGTAGAAGCGGAATCTTGAGGATTCTTGATAGAATCTCTGAGTCCTCTTTTGTTGGTGCGTGGAGGAATTATCTCAGTCAAGAAATTGTGCTCCCTGGAGTTGCTCTAGCTCTATTGTTCTTCACTGTTCTCAGGTTTCTTTTGCCCTCTCTTTTCAGCCCTTTGTGTTTGACTTTTGTTTTGCAGATATGTAATTAATTAGTTTGCTTTTTGAAATAGCTTTGGAACATTGATGACTGCGACACTGGAGTGGAAAGGGATACCTACTTATATCATTGGTCTAGGCAGAGGAATCAGTGCAGGTGTTGGACTAGCTGCTACAGTCGTGTACCCTCTCATGCAATCCCGCCTCTCACCCCTCAGAACAGGACTCTGGTCTTTCTGGTCTCAGGTACATATATATAGTACTATATTCGAAATCTAACGTAACATAAAAACTGTTAGCATACATCAGATAAAAGCAATACATAGTTATCCTAAAGATATTTTAGTTATTTGAATTTGTTATTGATGTTGGGTTCTTGTTTCTGTAGTGGACCTGTCTATTAGTCTGTGTTGGATCCATTTGGGTTGAAAAGGAGAAATTAGCATCATACATGCTCATGTCTGGAGTTGCTGCTTCTAGGCTTGGCTTGTGGATGTTCGATCTCGCGGTAATCCAACAAATGCAGGTAGGAATTTTAAGCTGAAATTTACTTTGTTTAACTATTGCTTTATAAGTCATTGAGTATGTACTTTGGAACATTGCTTTAGGATCTTGTTCCGGAACCAGACCGTTGTGTGGTTGGAGGTGTACAGAACTCGTTGCAAGCGGCTCTTGACTTGATGGCTAATCTTTTGGGTATTATTGTATCTAATCCTAAGGTAATTACTCAACATCACCAAATCTTGATCCATAAGTTCTCTTTTTCATAATGTTTGTTTTTGTTACATATGGTTTTAAAATTTGTGTTCAGGATTTTTGGATGTTGACATTGATCTCATTTGGCACGGTTTCGTTGGCGGGGTTACTCTATACAGTTCATCTCTATCGTATCCGAAAGCATCTATTTCACTTAGAGAAGATCCCTTTACTGAACAACTTATTTTCATGAAAATGAGGATTATGTATCAACATATATTTTCTCTAAAATTTCACCAGTACTGTTCGAATCTTTCTTTTTGTAAATCAATGTTCAAAACTATTTAAACTTGGCGACATGTTGTGTATGATATTGTTAAATTATCAATCACAGTATATATATAGCACAGAAGCTAAACGCCGAGAGCAGTAACGTGACCCACGTGTGAGAGTATCATATGTCTCGACCTTCTTCGACCTTGGGTGTCCTCTCAACGTATAGAATCTTCTGACCTACTTCGTCACATTACAAAAAGTTATTAAAACCTCAATAACAATTAGCTCAATCTATTCCTAAGAACAGCTGATTTGGTATTTAATTTATGTTCTTCAGATATAATAAACTAGCTCAGCCAAAAACTACAACTATTCAAACAAAACAAAAAAATACAAACCATGTTTTACCTATTAACCTTCCGTTCAAATGAAGCATGGCTTGTCCAGCACTATCCTCTCTTTCAAACTCAACGAAAGCAAATCCTCGTGACTCTCCTCTAGAATCCTTTGCAAGAACCAATCTTAGAACCTTTCCGAAATCCGAAAACATGAGAATCAACATTTCTTCAGAGACTTGGGCATCAAGACTTGATATATACAAACTCGTGAATTTGCTTTGACGAGTAGCAGATCCGTGATTATCATCGTCGTTGCTCATCTTAAGCTCTGTTCCAACCCTTCATGGTAATAAATGTAAAATGTAATGCGTCTCTTTGTAACAAAAATAGCAAAAAGTAGATATGTATTCAAATGCACTTAAATTCTAACTAAAAGAGTGTTTACAGTTTTTGACTATGACTACTTAGATTTAATATTTTTAAGTATATATAGGGTGGGAAATTATATTACCTTTTTTTATAACTCATAAAGATTTTAATTGTTTTATAATTCGGATATATGACAAAAGGAATAAAATAGCGAAGAAAAATTAATGGTATAAAAAGATAAATAATTTGTAAAAAGCCAGAAAAAGGTTAATAAGATTAAATAAATAATGTTTGTACTCCAAAATGTCACTGCGCTGCTTCTTAGCAAAATTTGGTGACTCAAACAAAATATCTTTCATAATTTCATAATAAAAAATTATAACAAAACATATATTAAGATATTAGATGGGCCAAAAGGACAGAGAAAAATATACAGTGGTGGACAGACCTGTGGGAGAGGAGATACGACGACGGAAGACTATTAAACATAGTTGCCAATACAATCGCCGCCATCACCAGCATGAATAATAGCACTGATGACGTCGTTTACCGTTTTGTGCTCTGTCAAGAAGAGAACCTAATGCAGAGAAGGAGATAGTGAAGAATACGATTAGTGAGATATGAAGATGGAAATTGTATCCTTATTATCATCTACTTATTAAATCTGCTCTCATCATTTAATGCTTTTTACTGAATTAGAAACCGTGTTTAATGTTTTTCTGGCTCTAAATGGTCCAGATTCAAATTAATGTTGCTTTCTAATTCCATCCTATACAAGTTTTGTGTTACTTTCATGTGAACAATAAATTTAAAGAGATGAATTTGTAATGCTAACATCAATTATTTTTTATTTTTTTTGACCCTGTTGATTATTTTGTATAATATCTACAAAGAAAGTAAATAGAGAAATCGTATTTTTTTTTATACATAAACTATGAGAATATATCATATACCTCACTGTTAACAACTAAAAAAAAAAAAAAACTTGGTTTTATAGACCTGTTAAATGTCCACGTTTATGTGAAATAGGTAGTTGAGACATCTCTTTTTGAAAAAGAGTTATGAAAAATTACAGAAGAAGAGCTTACTTGCCTGAAACTATACATACCTTATTTCAATCATCCCAAAAAAAGCTTCATGCAAGAGATTCACTCTTTAGAAGATTTTTTTTTTTTTCGTTTTTTTCTTAAACATGTATATCCACAACAACAAAAAAATATAAATATAAAAAGTTGACGCGAATGATTCATAAGTACGTCATGTTCTAGTTAGCTATAGATTGTGCCCATAAAGTAATTGAAGAAGCTAAACTAATGCTTACCAAAGTAGTAATAACAATCTGAAAATCTGAATATTCCGTATTTAGTTATTTAACATTTATAGAATAACAAAGATGCATTCATCACCAAAGTCACGTGCACCACTCCGCTATAATTTTTCGTCCTACTAAAAACGATCGAGACCGATGAAGAAGACTAGGACCATTGCCCATATTGATGTGATTAAAATCAGAAAGCCCACTGGCTCTTCCGCGGCTCACGTTTTAAACCGGCTATAACAAACCATTTGAGGACAAGGTCTTGTTGTTTTTTTTTCTTTATTAAAGGACAGTGTCTTCTTGTTTGACTAGATATTTTGTGAACACGTTTTTTGTAGTATATAGTTGTTATCGATCCATTATTTGATTTTTGATTTAAGATATAAGTTCAATTTTTTTTTAAGTAGGTTTGAGTTAGATCTATCTATATATGAATAGCAGGTACGTTAAGCTTTCGTACTACTCAACGGTAATATATTTTAGAACGTTTTGTTGAACATAATGTAACTATGTACATGAGTTACAACTACATGCTTAGGGTATAATATAAATATAGATTATGAAAAACAATTAAATACTGTATGTATAATTGTTTCCAGTATTTATTATTGCAAACACTCTCGTATTTATGTATACGCATCATGATTTGCTTATCCAGTTTTCTTTCCGTCAAAGATTCGTTGTCTTTTATAGGCCAATCCCTAGAAATGGTCCACATTTTTAAAATTTTAACAAGAACAAAAAGAAAAAGATTTTGTCTTATATCTTTAACAAATATCCGGTAAGGTTGGCTTATAAATAAGAATACCCTTAATTCAACTCCTTCACATACTCTCTCTTTCACATAATAAAGAAAAAGGCATTTGTTCCAAATTTCGAAAATGGATTCCATGATAAATCTCGTCGTGCCACTCTTCCTCGTCTTTTTCTCTTCTCTCATCTTTGGTAATTCACAGTTAGCTTATATATGTCTCATCAGTTTGGGATTTCTAAAATCTGTATGGCTAAATTTTTGAAGTTACAATTTTGTTCAATTTTATTTTGGCAGGAGACATCACTGGAGTGGAGAGCTCCAAGCATCATCATCACCATCATCATCACCATCATTACTCGTACAGTTCAACAAAGCTATTTGTGTTTGGAGATTCTTACGTCGATACCGGAAACATAAAGAAACAGGAAGCTGTAGTCCCATGGGCAGTCCCTTATGGTAACACATTCCCCGGTACACCCTCCGGCCGTTTCTCTGACGGCCGTGTCTCTACCGATTATTTAGGTAGGTACCTCTGTGAGCGTAACTAAAACGTTCTCTTCGTCGACTTCTTTATTTATTAGGAAGAATTTGCTATTTTACTGGGCCTTGTGAAACAACTATTTCATGTTATGCTCTGGTCATGGGAAAAACTTGGTTATATTTATATGATTTAATAATGTATTGTTGACGTTAATGTGATTTTTTTTAGGGAACAACAATGTTAATGGTATATACATCTTATGTTAGTAGCCAATGAAAGTTAAAATACATACCAACAAATACTAATACAGTACTGGTTATGGTTGAATACTTGCATGTTTTAAAAAAAGTATTCCTGAATTTGAAATTTCCAAATTTTTTCAATTCATTAATTAATATATTAAATGGTCTGCTCATTAATGTTGCTGATTTACTTATTTGTATTCAAACACATGCTTATAAAAATACAATTATTATGCAGCAAAAGTACTGAAGATAAAATCACCCATTCCTTATCAATTTAAAGATCACGCGGGACACGATCAGTTACAGTATGGGATGAACTTTGCGATCGGAGGAACTGGAGTCTTCGAAACTACGAGCTCAAATTTCAATATGACGTATCAGATCAATCTCTTTGAGCAACTCATCGGCGATGTCTACTCTCCATCCGACCTCTCATCTTCCCTAGCTCTCGTCAGTGTTGCTGGCAATGACTACTTAACTTACGTTGCTAAACATGGCATAAACATCGTAAGGAAACACGATTTCTTATATACTCATTTTATTACATTTTAGCCCTTTTGGAATTCAGTTTAGGGTCGGTTTAAATAAATTAATGTTTATTACAGTTATATATTTTGAACTGAAAACCAAATCAAATGAAATTCTTATTAGTCCATAGAACCAGTTTAAGCTATAAGTTTCATGATCATCCAACACGTTCTTTTCTCGAGGTTCTAACAAAACCTACAACAAAAAATCTCCAATCTTGCTCGCAATCTTAATTAGATATATTAATGATAAAAAAAGATAGTTTAATTGATTCTTGATTCTTATCACAGGGGATCATTCAATCCATGACGCAAGTCATTCATCAAACCAAGGTTAATATGCGGCGGATCCATGCCTTGGGAGTGAAAAAGGTAGCAATACCGTTACTACAGCCGCTCGGGTGCCTCCCCTTCTTCGCCAAAGACCAGAAGTGCAACCCCAATATAAACACGTTGGTTTTCGTACACAACAGCGCATTGCGGGAAGTAGTGGCCAATCTCAACAAGGAGACCAAGCAGTCTGCTTTCATGGTCATTGACTACTACAACGCCTTCTTGACCGCCTTCAACAGCAAAGGAGAGAATCCAGGCAAGAAAAAACAAAACAATATCCTTGTATTCCATATTTTTCCCCTCAAGCCTTATTATGTATGTGTGATTGGTTTATGGAAATGTAGGGAGTAAAAGGTTTGAAACTCCGTACAAAGCATGTTGCGGAGGCCTTTGCGGGTCCGTGTACAAGAACGGTCAGAAGAATTATACCTTATGCGATAATCCCACGTCTGCTTTCTTCTGGGATGGACTTCACCCTACTCAGGAAGGATGGAAATCGGTTTACTCCGCTTTAAACCTAACAGCATTTTCGACTTGATGGATTACACGAAATGTGTTTGAGATCAGATCTCAAAAGTTCTTCATCGTTGAGTGTTTTCTGCTTTTATAAATAGTTGTTATGTCTACGTCTTTTGAGTGTGTCGTTCTATAATTCCTGCATGCAAGGCTTTGTGCCTCTATCTTTTTTATTGTGTGTTTAAGAATAAAAGTGTAAACTTTAAGATTGAAATAAAACACTCTTTGTATTATTATGCTCTGTCTTTTTACACACTCTGTTTCTAATTAAAGATCACACGTATACTACTTATGTGATTTTTTTATCCTTGGTTCCACACAGCAAGTTTATTAACAAAGTTTCAGATGACAAAAGAAAAGATGGAGAGGAAAAAAGAAAAGGGTAACGCACAACTCTCTTTTTTTTTTATCAATATGTAATAAATTTAAATTTGTGTAGAGACTGGAGACACAATAACTTTGACCGAGACTATAACGGTACTATAAGCTTTTAGTTTTACCCTACTCTGATTAATTTAGTAAAGTTTACCATCCCATTAAAAAGCATCTGCCGCATTATTACCAATAAGGTCAATCATACTAACACAAATCACTGGGTTATATAAATTATTTAAGTGACGCTTATTTGTTTATACTTTAAAGACCAACTACTGTGTATAGTGAAGTTTAAATCTTCTAATTATCAAAATGATGAAGGAAAATAATATAGTGAAGTTTCACTGGTTTAAACCATACCGACCATGACGTCAAAAAAGAATTATTGTATATATATTGACTGTATTATCTTTAGCCAAAAAAAAACGTGACTGCAGTGTTGTCAAACTTCAGTATAGACTATAGAGTGTTTCCGCAAAACTTTTTGGATCCGACTAAATTGGAAAATTAGATGAGAACTATCGATTTGGGGAGAAATAGGAATATAACTATCGATTCGGGTAGCTTGAAGACGAGATTAAAGTTATGTGTAGTTCTAATACGATGTAATAGTTATCGGGGGGAAATAGGTCGTCAATCCATTCGATTGATTTGGATAACGTGAAAGCAGAGAAAGCTGCCGCTAAATCGAGTCCTATGTTATTCTTTTTCTTTGACAACAACTTCACAACCGATCTTATCGAAGCTGGTCTTAAATCGAATTAAATCAAATTTTGATTATGTAGAAGTTGGATTTGTTGCTTGAAGAACCGGGTGAAGAAGACAATATTGGATCGGATCATTTAAAGGGTCGAGTCGGGTTTAAAATTTGGTTTTATACCAGGATTACGTTGGTTTTAATTGGGTTTGGTTCGTAACCCGTTCAAACCCAGAAAATTGGAAAATTAGATTAGAACTATCGATTTGGGGAGAAATAGGAATATAACTATCGATTCGGGTAGCTTGAAGACGAGATTAAAGTTCTGTGTAGTTCTAATATGATGTAATAGTTATCGGGGGGGGGGGGGAAATAGGTCGTCAATCCCGGATATTACTATATTAGTCAATGTTGATTTCGTTGAATCTTTTCTATTATTTCAGAAATATATTTTAGAATCCAACCTTGTCAAGTTATAATTAATAAAATTAGAGAATATGAAAAAGAAAAAAAATAAAACTGTATTCCATTCGTAATGCGAATTATTCATAATTACATCATTTTCTAGTTTGCTATTAACCGTGCCCATAATTGATGGTAAACTAGTGAAAACTCATGCTACCAACAAATCTAAAAAGACTGTCCACGATAAATCTTTTGTCTTACTACAAACGATTGAGACCGCGCGAAGACGCGGACCACTTTCTCATATTGGCGGTATATGGCCACTGATGCAGTGATGCGAACAAAATCAATCAGAAAGCCATTGCATTTCCACGGCTCACGTTTTAAATTGGCTATAACAACCATATATGAAGACAAGTTCTTGTTGTTTTTACTCAAGTAAAGGATAAGGTCTCATTGTTTGATTGTAGATATTTTTTTGAAGATGTTTTAATTCTTGTAGTATAGTTGGTATAGATGAGATCTAATTGTTAGAATATATATTATTGATTATCCAGTTGTCTTTATAAATTATAAATTCAATCTTCTAAAAATAAAAACAAATTATAAGAGAACATATAAATCTTCTAATAAATAGCAGGTTGAATATGATACTTCAGGATTAATCATTGAATATAGGGTTTCTTGAATATATATATAATTTTGAAATTTTTTTATAGGTTATACCGAAAACGTTTTTTTGGCACTCATTGGGATTTAAACTTCTTGAAAAATCCGGTAGGGTGGGTTTATAAATAAGAAGAATAGTACCCTTGGATTCAGTTCTCTAAGTTTCATTCTTTTAACTCACCTCTTTCACAAAAGAAAGAAACAATTTTCGAAAATGAAGTCCGTGATAACTCTCGTCCCACTCTTACTCCTCTTTCTTTCTTCTCTCCTCTTTGGTAGTTCACAATTATCTTCTATTTATATATATAACATTAGTACTATATGTTTAATTTTAAAAGTTACAGTTTTGTTCAACTTATTTTTGCAGGAGACATCACTGGAGTGGAGAGCTCAAAGCATCATCAGCGTAACTCATACGGTTCAACAAAGCTGTTTGTGTTTGGAGATTCTAACGTTGATACCGGAAACCTGAAGAAAAATGAGTCTGAAGCATGGATAGTCCCTTATGGTATCACATACCCTGGTACACCTTCCGGCCGTTACTCTGACGGCCGTGTCTCTACCGATTATCTAGGTATGTTGCCTCTATGAGCGTAACTAAAACGTTAACTTGTCAATTTCACTTCTTCTAATACTGATAATAAAATGTTAGGAAGCATTTGCTATTTTACTCCTATTTTCAATGTCACGTTCTAGATGTTGTTGATTATATTATGCGCTAGCTAGGCATTGGAAAAACTTGGTTATATTTATATCTTTATCTAATTATGTCATCTGTACTGTTGGCGTTAGTGCGTTATTTACTACATGTTATATTAGAAGCCAACCCAAGTTTATATATATACAAAAAGAATATTTACTATGGTGGAATATTTTCTTAAAATGAAATTCCTGAATTTGAAATCTCATTCTTTTTTTTTCTTTTTTTTTATGCTTATTGATTTTTTTGGTAAATGTGTGCAGCCAAATTTCTGAGGATAAAATCACCCATCCCATATCAAATGAAAGATCACGTGGGACATGAACGGTTACAATATGGAATGAATTTTGCGTACGGAGGAACCGGAGTCTTCGACACGGTTTATCTTAAAGGTTTGGATATGACATATCAGATCGGTCTCTTTGAGAAACTCATTGGCGATATCTACTCTCCATCCGACCTTTCTTCTTCCCTCGCCCTCGTCAGTGTTGCTGGCAATGACTACTTTACTCACATCGTCGACAATGGCATATCCTTGGTAAGGAGAATTAACCACGTTTTCTTATAAACTCATTTAATTAATTTTTATTATTTCTGAAAATTTATAACTTTCTAGTCCAACAAAAATATGACTAAAAGTATTTTGGGAAAAAACTTACAAATTATCTACTGTATATAAAACATACATATATACACTGGTAAAAATAGTTAAAATCTTCTTAATCCATAATATAGACCTATTTAACTCCCTTCTTTAGATATTTTCTTGAGACTTAACTCTAACAATCTACATAGACAAATCTCCAATCTTGATCGTAATCTTAGCACCAATGATAACTTGATTTCTGATTATGATCACAGAGCATCTTTCAAATTGTGAAGCGAGTCATCAATCAAATCGAGGTGAATTTGAGGCGGATACACGCCTTGGGAGTGAAAAAGATAGCAATACCGTCATTACAGCCGCTCGGGTGCCTCCCCATGTACACCAGAGGCTCCTCGTACCAGAAGTGCAACGACATTATCAACGCGTTGACGATCATACACAACAGCGCCTTGCAGAAAGTAGTGGCTAAACTCAACAAGGAGACCAAGCAGTCTACAGCCTTCGTGGTCCTTGACTACTACAAGGCCTTCTTGACCGTCCTCAATAACAAAGGAGAGAATCCAGGTAAATGAAAACAAACAGTTTCCTAAATTGATAATATAGATTCCTCTTTTGAAGGCTTATATGTATGTATTTGGTTTATGGAAATTTAGGGATTACGAATTTTAAAACTCTATACAAGCCGTGTTGCGAAGGAGAATGCGGATCTGTGGACATGAACGGTGTGAAGAACTATACCTTATGCGATGATCCTAATTCTGCTTTCTTCTGGGATGAATTTCACCCTGGCCAGCAAGGATGGAACGCGGTTTACTCGGTTTTGACCAAAAACCTAAGAGCATTGTCGGTTTGATCGAAAACCTGAAATATGTTTGCTTACGATTTCAAATTTTCTTCATCGTTAAGTGTTTTTCTTCTTTTATAACTCTTATCTCTCTACGTCTTTTTTTATTGTGTGTTTAAGAATAAAAGTGTGAACTTTAAGATTGAAATAAAACACTCTTTGTATTATTATGCTCTGTCTTTTTACACACTCTGTTTCTAGTTAAAGTTCACATGTATACTACTTTTACTTATTAATTGTGAACTCGGGTCTTAAAACTTTTATAATTGGCCCTTAATTAAATCATTTTATATAAATAACGATAGCGAAGATATGTAGTTCTACCATAGGCTCTAGTTAATCTAGGTTTCGGTTCGGGATCTTTTATATAATAAAGTAGAAGAACGCACACAATGAAGCTAAGTCACCTCCTTTTAAGGTTACTAGGTCTATGTTAAGCCACAAAGACATTAAGAACACTTCAATTTCAAACCTTAAAGTTCTCTCCTCCACATCTTATATATTTTCTCTTCATTTCTTTTTCTCTCTAACTAAAACAAAAAAAAAACGAAAGTCTTTGATCTAAATCTTGATGAAACTCCTCCTCTTTCTCGCTCTCGTCTTTGGTACTTTACCGTCGTCTCATAGCGTGCTGAATTATCACTAGCGGAATTCTATAAAATAGGCCAAATTTGAATTTGAATTTGATATATATATATATTTTTTTTGTTGCAGTGGGAATCAATGAAGTATTGGGTTCAAATCAGCCTTCCCAATCCCAAAAAAATCCGAAGCTGTTCGTATTCGGAAATTCTTACGTCGATACCGGAAACATGAAGCCCAATGCACCATCTTGGAAATCTCCTTATGGTATCACTTTTCCCCGTAAACCTTCCGGCCGTTATTCTGATGGCCTCGTCGCCACTGATATTTTAGGTTCTACTCTCACACTTTCTAGCTACATGATTCACTGAAATAGACGTCGAAAGAAGAAACAAAAAAAAGTGTGTTCATTCGTGCAGCAAAACAGTTGGGAGCTGAATTGCCGTACCTCTGGAGAACTCACGGGAAAAATAAAAATAAATTAGACAGAGGAATGAATTTTGCGTTTGGAGGGTCCGAAGTGTTCGACTCTCCGGTTGATCGATCGCCCAACATCTCTACTCAGGTAGGTTTCTTGGTTAACCTTGCCCTCGCCCGCCGTGTCTACACTATCGACGGTGACCTTGCTTCCTCCTACGCTCTCCTCAGCTACTCCGGCATCGACTATTACGGTTTCATTGACAAAAACCCTAATATGGCTGTAAGATATACATTCATGTTTCCTTAAACCACATTATATAATAATGTCAATCACCACTTATACAAAAATGATTTGATCATGCATGCAGGCCTACCCAGCCTTTGTAGAGTTCATCGTGGAAGATATACAATATAGTCTAGGGATAATGAACGGACTAAAGTTTAAGAATATAGCAGTTACGTCGCTGCATCCGCTGGGATGCCTCCCACGTGTCACCGTTGAATCCTCCTTTAGGAGTTGCAACGAGTCATATACCGATTTGGTGAGACTCCACAACGAGTCGCTGAAGAAAGCCGTAGCCAAGCTTAACAAAGAGGACAAGTTTAGGACCAAAGGGGACCGTTTCGTCATTGTTGATCTTCACAAAGCCTTCATGGCTGTCTTGGAGAAAAAGGGTACGTAAGGTTATTTGATCTTTAATGTTAAAACTTTAGTCTTAAAGATTTGTTTTTTGGTGTGTCAATGGTTTGCATCAGGGGCGGATCTAGAAAATTTATTCAACGGGGGCAAAAAAATAGTAAAAACCATCAAATACTAAATTATTGAAAAACATAAAATTGTCATATAAAACTTTTAAAACATCTTACAAAACTACCCGACGCTCATTTAACAATTTAAACCTTTTTATCACATTTTCATTTGTGACCGCTTCAAATAATTCTTTTTCAATATAGCAAACAAGACAATCACTTAGAAATTGGTCTCCAATTCTATTCCGTGCAGCTGTCTTCACCAATTTCATTGCAGAAAAACATCTCTCAACACTTGCTGTAGCAACTGGTAAAGTTAGAACTAATTTCAAAAGCCTATAAACCAAGGGATGTGCAAGATGTTTTTGGGTTTTCACCATCAAACGGTAAAGCTCTCCAAGACTTTTCACACTCTTAAATCGTTCATCTCTGCTCACATTGTCAATGTAGATATCAAGATGCTGCTCAAGAGACAAAACCTCCCCATAGCTGAAGTCATCTGGATAAAACTTAGCCAACCTCACCAATTTTTCTCTGTTAAATTCTTGGAATGAATCAAGAGGACTTAAAGAAGCCATACAAATAAGTAGATCAGTGTTTACCTCCGTAAAACGATCATTGAACTCCTGAAGCTGTAGTGTAGAAGCAGTTAACCTTATAATGATGTAGGTTGGTTATATTGGTTTTTCTTCTTGGTTTCCTTGGATCTACAAAAACGTCTTCCATGACAAGCAGTTCAGCATTATGTTTCTCACAAAAAGATGAAACTTTATTCATAAGTGAATCCCATCCATCATCTATAAGCTTCTGTAATTCTCTCTTAGTAGATTCCACCAATGACATGGCATTCAAAATATCTTGGTCTTTCCTTTGCAAAGCCATTGACAAATTCTCAGTTAATCCCAAAATAAGTAGCATAAGTTGCATATAGAACACACAATCAAAAGTGATAACTCACTATCTCTTTTCTCTTAGCTGGATCCCATGGCAGATCATCGACATTGGTGTTATCTGGATCCAATGGTTGATCATCGACATTGGTGTTAGCTGGATCCAGTGGTTGATCATCAACATTGGTGTTAGCTAGATCCCGTGGTTGATCATCGATATTGGAGTGTGGCGTTGGTTTCCAGTACCCGTGT